TCCTGTTCAACCTGTATATGATCTCAATGAGCCAAATAATGACAAAGAACCGAATCTCTTACCACAGCTATGCAGACGACACATGCATTGATGAAGTAAACAGTTGGATGTGCCAAAACTTTCTTCAGTTAAACAAAGAAAAAACTGAAGTCATTGCGTTTGGAAACAAAGATGAAGTTCTCAAGGTGAATCCATACCTTGACGCTAGGGGTCTAACAACTACAAATCAAGTCAGGAATCTTGGCGTGTCTCTAGAGTCAGACCTTAGTTTCAGTAGTCATGTCAAAGCAATAACTTTGAGAGAGAGAGAGAGAGAGAGAGAGAGAGAGAGAGAGAGAGAGAGAGAGAGACTGAATACGCTAATACCGCCCCCTGCTGCTCTTTGCATTGTAATACAGTCAAAAGCATTTTTTTACATTTTTTTTTTTTGCCAACATATTCATTACATTAGAAAGTACCACTACATCCTGAAAGGGACAAAATAACATGAATAATGCATGTATGTTTTTGAGTGCATAGAAAGGGCTTTGTTTGTGTCTTGAATTCGTTTTATCTGTTAATTAATTCATTTTTTTTAAACTTATGCCTATTATGTCTTGAACTTTCATAAGCAGCACTAATTTTTATTAATAACTTTCTGGAATAAGATAGTTTTCATAAAATATGTTTACATAGTGTCCATATAAGTTACATATAAGTTATATAAGACATATAGTTACATATATGTAAAAAAAAAAAAAATTTGGATTCATAAAATTAACGACTTTATACCCTTGAGTCTTAATACTGTGTGTCATTACATGAATGATCCATGACTGTTTTTTTTCTAAATATTTTTATGATAGTTGTTCATGAGTCTCTTGTTTGTCCTGCCTGATGTTCTCCAGGTCCTGAAGATTTTTCAGTTTTACAGCATCTTATTCTTTTGCATATTTGAACCCAGTGGTGAGTGACTGTATGATTTTGAGATCCATCTTTTCACAATGAGGACATCAGAGGGACTCAAACACAACTATTAAAAAAGCTTCAAACGTTCACTAATGCTCCGGAAGGAAGGACATTACATTGAGAGTCGGGGGGTGAAAACTTTTGAACAGGATTCTGCAGGGGGTTCACAAACTTTCAAGCAGCACAGTATACACACACACGGACACACATATATATATATATATCCCAAAATCTCATAGTTACCATGGAAACGGTCTCCACTGTCTGCTTGATTGACGACATCAACGTTTCCCTCCCACAGTGTTCACAGAGAACGTCACCACCACACACTCGCTCGAGTGTTTTGGTCCCTAAACCCCTACAGGCTTCCATCACTTCATCCGTTTCTCCTCAATCCACTTCTCCACTGTAACTGAAGTCCAGTACAGTCTTCAGTCCTGCAGGAGTCATCCGTCCTCCATCCAGTTCCAATTTCTTAAGCCCCGCCTCTCCAGATAGCAGCCACGCCTCTGCCCTTTGACTGACAGCAGCGAGCGCCAATCACTGAGCATTGTGGAGATTGCCTAGGCGCTTTAAACTGCAGTCCAGTAGAAGCCCCTCCCCCTTGAGTCATGTGGTGTGTGGAAAACACAAAGGGGCGGGGCTTTGTGTTACTGAGGGATTCTGTAGGAGGTTTTCTGAAAGTGGGCGGGGAAAAGGTTGAAGTGGGAGGAGTGAGGATGATGGATTTCTTTCCAGACTTGAGGATGTGATGCGACTTCCAGCTTCCTTTTCTCTTCTTCCCTCACCTACAGTACGTCTGCATTAGCAGCCTTTTAAAAGGGTGAAATCAGTCAGTTCATGAACAACTATTTCAAAGTAAAACAATTCTACACGTATCAATATATTATTTTTATATATTGTATTGTATTACATGCACACATCTTTTTTTATATATATTTCAGGCAACAAAGCTAAAAAGGTCATCAAAACAGTGACAAAACACACTATATATTCTTATTTTACCAGTTATTATTTTGTGATAATTTAATGTTAGAATTACACAGTTCAGTGATTAATAGTTCAAATTGGTAAGGGTTCAAAAATATGTCTACTTCTTGTATTTACAGTAGCGTACGTATTTTTAAGCACATGTGGCCCAACTTTATCTTTTACATAGTTAATAAGTAATGTCTTTACTTATAGAAAAAGCGAGGAGGTTTTCTTCATTGGCATTGTTATACGAGGCCCTCAGTCCTGCTATCATGCTCATTATATCAGAGGAAACACTCGCTGGAGACACTGACTGACACACGAAAGCTCTTAAACATGAAGAATGACTCTACAATACTCCCTTGATTATTAATATCGAGGAAAGCGCTTTCTGGAAATCGGTTATACAGCAAACCAAGTGTTATTGTAAAAAAGAAAGAAACAGTTTTTAAGTCTGTGGTTCTTCACGTGATTTGAGCTACGTGTTTCTTTGCTTTTATGTTTTTATTTGTGGCAAGAAGTGGTTGTAACGAATGGACTGATAATAGAGTTATTTCATGAGAACACATCTGTGTCATATTATATCTAAAACTTGGAAGAAAAAAAGGAGGCTGTAACCAATATTTAGCAAAAACTAAAAGTCTATATAATCATTCACGTTCATTTAACACATGTTTTACTTTTAAGTTTTATAGTAAGCAATGATTCTCATTTTCATCTATTTAGACAACATTTTTGGTGTAAATGAATGGTTTATAGACCTAATATTAATAACTGTTTTGTAAATGATAAAGTAGCCTATTAATTTCCAATCATTCACTCAAATGTATATATATGTTGGTTTAGATGTCGTTGTGTTTTGTTTCTTGTTCAGTTTAGTCTTGATTTTGTCTCATTTATTAACCTCTGATGATGATGTTCAGCTGTCTATCATTATGTTTCCCTCTGTATTCATAATCCCTGTTCTGTTCAGTTTATGGTCGATTATCTTCTTTTGTTTATTGAAATTATACTCCGTAAATTATCCTGTGTATATTCTCTTGGTTAAAGAAGATATTGTTAGATATTTTGCATCATGTTTACTTACCAACACCATATATGGAAAATTACATTTTAGATTTATATTATTGTCTTCATAAAGATTTTTTTTAATCAAAACATATTGTTGAAATGTATCGTTACACTGAAAAAAATACGTTACGCTTGTTCAAATTGCTTAATTAAAATGAGCTTAAGCAACACAATTGCTATACTTGTACATTTTGTCCGAATTTAAGTTGATTGTGTTCAATCTGCTTACAGATTAAGTTTACTTTACATGAATGATTTGTGTTGCATGAACTGAAACTGGGCGGTCCTTGTTAATTCCCAGCATGCTCTGCATATGTTGAAATATAAATCTAAATGTTGAAATTAAGTGTTATTTTATGTGTTTTTGAGAAAATGAGAAAAGGGGAAGACTTGATAGTAAATGCTTTGGCTGATAAAGCATGTAAATCTATCATTTGAGATAAAAAATGCTATTGGTAGTAAATAGTTGACTATAGTCTAAACATTGATTAGTGTGTAACTAAAATAAACTACACTCTTAGAAGAAAAGGTTCTATATAGAACCTTAAAAGGTTCTATCAGCGCTACGTATTTGGAACCCCTAAAAAAGTGTTCCTCTGGGTTCTATATAGAACGCTGGGGTTCCATACATGGCCAATAGAACCTTTTACCAAAAAAAAAAAAAAATGGTTCTATAGAATCATTTTGGAGTTCCAAATATGAATCGGAGAATGGAACCCTTTCTGGTTCTAAATAGAACCATTTCTTCTAAGAGTGTATATTGCATCCATGGATGAATGGATATTTGAATTAGAATATCAGTCATCTAAAACATTGCAAACTATTCGGGCTGACACTATTAAATTAAGCTGTGCCCAACCAGAGTAAATAAGTTGAATCAACCTTAATAAATTAAGTTGACCCAACACAAGTACATTAAATTGGATTAACAGAATTGCATAATGCGGAATGGTGAAAATCCTTTCCATGATTTTTTTTTTATGTTCATTCAAAGTTATTTTTTGAGTGTATTTACTCTAATAAATTGTTCAAATCTCTAATTTCTTTCATTCAACATTAGCAAAAATAATGTGTTTGCTTAAAAAAGTGTCCGCTATTATTCTGACTTTTACGGTATTGAAATCCTGTGGGTTTCTAATACAAAATATCTCCAAGGTGAATGAGCGTCCTCATCCGAGTTTAACAGTAATACATTGTAAATAATAATAAAGTGTTTATGGTGTGATTAAATGAAGTCCTCTCGTGAAATCTCTGCAAAACATTAATCATATACCCTATATTCAGGCCTGCTTCTAATTCCAGGAATTATCTGTAGAGTTTTGGCAACTTTACGCCCGTTTACAGAGTCGCACACCCTCTTTTTAATGCCAAGTTCTTCCAGATGAACCCATGATCACCTCAGTCAGTTAGTAATGAGCGGTTAGCCAACAAATTGTTGAAGATAAAGATTTTATACAAGTGTGTGTGTCTGTGGACAAATCGTGGCTTTTCCACACTATAAAGGTGCTTTGAACACAAGTGAACTTGAGACCTCGATGCCATAAAGTCTAGAGAACGTTTGTAAAAGGAGTTTCTGCAAAAAGATCATAAAATCTAAAACAAAGCACACTACTCATGTGTCATTTGGTGCACATTTAGAAAAATTAAGGACCACTTGCGTGTTAAGTGAAGTACTTTCAATGCACACGTTTCAATCTCCATACAATGAAGCCAAAATAGGAGACTTTCAATAATATCCTAAAACTATTTTTTTCAGCTCTTTTTACCTTTTATTGTCTCTTTCTGTGTAATGTAATGTCAGTCTCATATTAGATGTTATTATTTGGGTTAATGATTAACCCCGAGCCCGTTGACACAGATACCGTTATCAGGATAATCCGAAGAGGAAACACATATTTTATGTCATCAATTACGCAGGAACGAGTCTCAGATGTAGCGCGCGTCCACGTGGGATGAGAGGAGGTGTAGCTTTGGCTATAAATTAAGAAAGCCATGATGATAAGACAAAACTGCAAAGCTGCTCAAAATAGGATGGAAGCCCTTTAGAACAATATTGTGCTCTGTTCATTTGTTTTTCTACGTTCATTCAGGAATTGAAGAAGAGGAGATCACCGGTCAACCATTAGAAGTACATAAAGTAAGTTCTTCAATATTTGGGGGTTTTCCTCCCCCTTAAAGCTTAGTTTGCCCAAGGAGTTGATATCAATGTCACAAGTATGACTGAAGTAGAATTAGATTAGAAGTTGTGCAGAATCTAACTCATAATAATAGTTATATTTGTAACACATGTAATAAAAATATGTGAAAAAACATGTAAAAAAAACCCTAATCACACACACCTTTCATTTTCAAGTGATCCCGAAGACCTTACACTCTCAGAAAAAAGGTACGAAAGCTGTCACTGGGGCTGTACCTTTTCAAAAGGTACACTTTTGTCCATTTTAGGTACTAGTTTGTACGTTTTATGTGCTAATATATACATTTTATGTGCTAATATGTACATTTTAGGTGCTAATATGTATAGTTTAAGTGTTGATATGTATATTTCAGGTACTAATATGTACATTTTAAGCGTTGATATGTACATTTTAGGTGCTAATATGTACAGTTTAAGTGTTGATATGTACATTTCAGGTACTAATATGTACATTTTAAGCGTTGATATGTACATTTTAGGTGCTAATATGTACAGTTTAAGCGTTGATATGTACATTTCAGGTACTAGTATGTACATTTTAAGCGTTGATATGTACATTTTAGGTGCTAATCCCAGACAGCAAACTGACATTGAATCAACATGGAAACGACGTCTCTCATGACATTGAAACAACGTTGATTTTGCTCATCGAATTAACGTTGAACCAACGTCAGACGCGGCATTCTTCAAAGCTAAATGAAAATCGAAAATTGGTTTGCTTTCATAACGTTGAAACAACGCGTTGATTTCAAGTTGATTTTCCGTTAGTTTTGAAAGAATGACGCGTCATGACGTTGGTTCAACATTAATTCGATGAGCAAAACAATGTCAGATCAACGTTGTTTCTATGTCATATTTTCACGTTGATTCAATGTCAGTCTGCTATCTGGGAATATGTACAGTTTAAGTGTTGATATGTACATTTCAGGTACTAGTATGTACAGTTTAAGTGTTGATATGTACATTTTAGGTGCTAATATGTACAGTTTAAGTGTTGATATGTACATTTTAGGTGCTAATATGTACAGTTTAAGTGTTGATATGTACATTTTAGGTGCTAATATGTACAGTTTAAGCGTTGATATTTACATTTCAGGTACTAATATGTACATTTTAAGCGTTGATATGTACATTTTAGGTGCTAATATGTACAGTTTAAGTGTTGATATGTACATTTCAGGTACTAATATGTACATTTTAAGCGTTGATATGTACATTTTAGGTGCTAATAGGTGCTAATATGTACATTTCAGGTACTAATATGTACAGTTTAAGTGCTGATATGTTAATTTTAGGTGCTAATATGTACCATTACCTTTTGAAAAGGTACAGCCCCAGTGACAGCTTTTGTACCTTTTTTTCTGAGAGTGTAATAGTTTGCTTGAGGTGTGTTTGATATGGGTTGGAGATCACCCTTGGTCTAAACCCATTGCTTAAATGCATTATGATGGACTCTACAGGCGCAGTGTTTCTGAGCGTGCACAAATGGGTCACCGCTTCTCCAAGCGCAGGATGGCGGGGTCAGAAGTGTTGCCCGCCGGCCGCTTCTCGGTCAGTGAAGAGGCTCCGCCGCATTACTCCTCTTACAGCACCGGCGATGAGACGAGCGTCACGGTGGAGACACCGGCGGCACGAAGGACGTCTGAAGCTCTGAACTCGCGGCAGGACAACCGGAGGCCGTCCATATACAGCACCATGGACGCACTGCCGAACCTGGAGTTTTACGCCAACGCCACCGCCACGGGCCGCATCCGGCGCAGCAGACCCTCGCTGGAGACGCTGCGCAAGGCCTACGATGTGGGTCGCTCGTTGAAACTGTAAAAACCAGAGGCCGTTGTTTCAGGGCCCTTGTTTAATGTGATCTAATCTCCATCCGACGAGACAAAAAACGAATCTCTTCATCTTATTTTTAACCACGATTTATTCATTTCTTCCCTCGTCTTAGTAGCCTAAACCGTGGCCACCTTGAACTAATCCGTTCCCTCGTATTGATTTAACTAAAACAAGGGAACTAATTAGTACAACGCTCCTTAGCTTACTTCCCAGTTGAAAAATAAGGTTTTCTCAAGATAAGAAAAAATAATAATAATGTTCAGGACAGTGTTGTAGTACTCGAGACTCGGACTCGGTCTCGAGACCATATTTTAATGGTCTTGGTCTTGTCATGGACTCGTGTCCATTTGGACTCGGAATTGACACATTTTTTTTTTAGGTCTCGGACTTATTCCCGAGTCCACTCGAGTTCAATTCAAAATATTTTTCATGATTATTAATGTATGTTAATAAAATATTTCTTTAAACTGATTGACACGCCCAGTGATTGGTGATTTTCTAGTGTGCAACTGCTCATGACAAAAATTGTAATAAAATTACTTTTAACACCACCTACTATGTGGCCTTTTTACCCTAAACTGATCATATTTTTTAAACTCTAAGTAAATTCAGTATGAAAAAAGGATTTCTCTAAGTAAATAAAAGTAAATTAGGTAATCAACCCTCACTGGTCCCGGTCTCGACTCGGACTCGACTCTCACTGGTCTCGGTCTCGACTCGGACTCGACTCTCTCTGGTCTCGGTCTCGACTCGGACTCGAGTGAGGTGGTCTCGACTACAACACTGGTTCAGGATTAGGAGTTGAAGACAATATATCAATTAAATTTGATTAAGTTGTCAGCTTTATTTATATAGCGCTTTTTACAATACAGATTCAAAACAGCTTTAGGGAGACAACAGGAAAATAATACAATAAAGTTTGTTTCGAGAAGAAAATAGCGCCACAGTCCAGCTTAAGTAAGCTCAGTTATGGTTCATTTTTGTTGTAAAGAAGTTATTAATGTAGTTAATTTATATATATATATATATATATATATATATATATATATAGAGCCGCTCTGGAGTAAACCGTGATTGTCCTGCTCAGTTCAGTTCTCGTATAATTGTGTTAATGCAGGAGATCAATAATAATGTTGAATATTAAGTGTCCCCAAGAAAGCAAGCTAAAAAAAGGTGACAAAGGTAAATTAAAAAAAGTCAATCATTGAATTTAGCTGAATAGTGAATGCTATACACTGAAAAAAATAATATCCTTTATCTAATCAATAAAATTGTGGCAACATATTACAAGCAATATTATTTACAAATTAGAATTAATTAGAATATTAATTTGATTAACTATTACTCAATTAAAATTTGTTCAATTTAATATTATTCATAAAATTTTACAAATTAGTAATAATTAGAATATTAATTTGATTAACTATTACTCAATTAAAATTTGTTCAATTTAATAAATAATATTGCTTGTAATCTGTTGCCACAATTTTATTGATTAAATAAAGCATATTAATTTTTACAGTGTAAAATCATATAAAGTACGAGTACATAACACTGTAAAAAAATATATTTTTTTATGATTTGTAATCAACATTTTTTCTTTTGTCAATTCAACTTCAGTAATTTATGTAGTTCAGAGTTTCTGATGATTAAATCAATCTGTTTTCATTGTATTAACTCAATTTCAATGAACTTAAAAGTTGAAGGCAACCAGGTTACTTAATTTTTTTAAGTTAAACCAACAATATTGTTTTACAGTGAAATGCGGTCCCAAAACTGTAACTGGTTCTGCGAGATCATCAGCTGTAACGCTTCAGAAAGAATAATTCTGTATAATGTAAAACATTACGCAATAATGTTTTTACATTGCTTTAACTTAGAAATACGTTTTTTATAATTTATGCAGGTTCAACTCATTTTTAAAAGTCAGTTTAATGTATTTTAAGTTGAAATGACTTAATTTAAGGCAGCAACTTTTTTACATTGTATGTCGGCCTACTTACATTTTTTATTTAAACGTGTGTGTGTGTGTGTGTGTTGGTTTAGGATGGAGAATCTCTCAGTAACACGTGCGTCTCTACCACGGGAAGCCTCTCAGCTCTTCAAGAGAGTGGAAACGATTCTGAGGAAAGCGGAAAAGGGGGAAAGACTTCCCAACCAGTGCGCTTCGGATGGGTGACTGGGGTTATGGTGAGAAACAGAGGAAAATACACACTCGTGCGTGCAAACAACCACACGCACATATTCTTACACACTCTTGTGTTTCAGATTCGGTGTATGTTGAATATCTGGGGGGTCATTCTGTTCCTGCGCTTGTCCTGGATCACATCCCAAGCAGGAATCCGTGAGTGGACGCTTTTCAGTGACTCGGGAAAAGTCTGTACATGAACCACAGGCCAGACTGGCTATTTACTTTAGTAAAGATAATGTTGCTCAAGAAATTCCCAGTGAAAATCTTTTATAGAAGGACTTCCTCGAACTGTGTGTGTAATCTGTAAAGGACACTTATCTGGGATGTGTTTTGTCTATTCTTTGGACTGGAGCTCTGTACAGACATTATGTCCTATTCGTGTGTGTTTTTTTTTGTATTTCCTCTACTTTAGTTCTTACATGGGTAATTATACTGATGTCGGTCCTTGTGACGTCCATAACGGCACTGTCTGTATCTGCCATCTCCACCAATGGGAGAGTCTCTTCTGGTGAGTCACATGACAAGAGCATGACATCAAACTGATCAGATTGTGCTGGTTTTGATTATCGGCGATGATGATGACGCTTAAGTTGCTGCGTAACTCGTCCTTCACTGTTTGTGTTACTGGTGCATAATGATGTGTGTTTATTGCCGAGAAGTGTGCTGTTGCTTTTTCTAAGCGATTGGGGCAAAAATATATCCAATACATTGAAAAATAAAATGGGAGTCATATATCTAAAGGCAAAAAGTTTAAACAGGATCAAAATGATGTTTCAAAGCAACAATTGTGGATTAGATCTCTTTGATACGGATTCAAACTTTTCCAGATGATCGATGAATATACAGTGATGAGTTGATAGATTAAAAAATTAAACCCCCAAACAACTTGACTTTACTGTGCTGAAAGTCTTAACATAGTGTGTACTTTTTCCACGATATCACTGTAATAGTCAAACAAGTCAAATTGATGCAAAATATCAATAATATCAACATTTGCTGCGTGATTCAAATACAACTACAAGTTTTATTACACATACAAGTTTTATTTATTAAACAAAAAATGGCTTTGATTTCATGTTTTCTAAAAGCCATTTATTAAGTTGCAATTGATCAAAAGTAAAATTGATAAAAGCTATTAATTTGTGATGTAACCAGGAAGAAAGGGATTTTTCATTTGTTTCGTATTGATGGTACAATTTGAGCAAAGAACTGAAGTGTTACACAAACACCAATCCTATAAGAAGTTCTGAACCAAAAACCAACGCCTTTTTGAAGAAGAAGAAGAATCCATTTTGAAGATTTGATCCAAACTGTAAAAAATAATCGTGATTTTTAACGGTAAAAGACCGTTGTAAAAATGCCACAGTGCAAAACTTTTAATTGGTTAACAGAAAGTTTCCGTACTATATATGGTAAATAACTGTGATAGATCTTATGGTACATTTATTGTAATTTTACTGTAAAATACTTGAAAAAGAACAACTCATCGTATAATTTACAGTGAAAAAACGTAAATTAACATTCCCGTAATTCCCTGTGCGACACTTTGCATTTTATGTATTTTTTGTTAAAATATCTGTTTCCTCATATTTGTCTTGGTTTGTTTCTAATCAGTTTTGTACATAAGGGTTTTATGTTACAATTAATGTTTATTGCAATTTTTATTTCTAAGTTTTAACCTTCTTATAGAAAAGAGCTGCTTGTGGTGAGCTTTGATTGGTCATGTGACTCTCACCTCTGCTGTGTTAATGTTTGGTTGGCAGTGTGTTACAATGATACAAAACAGATATCAATACTTCAATAGGTTAGAAAATTAACATTATATCTCCTAATGAAATACGGTTTATTACGGTAATTTTTAAGTTAAGTCTGTAAAACGTTGCTACCGTATTTTTGACGGTAAAGTTCTCGCAACCACAGCTGCCGTTTTTTTTTGTTTTTTGTTTTTTTCAATTACGGTAAAAAAATTACGTAAAAATTACGGTTTTATGTTTTACAGTGTAGCTGAAATCAAATGTATTTGAACAACTGTGAGCTCTATCATTCTGACCTGGTGAAAATAATTTTGTGACTGACATTTAATTACACACATTTCAAATTCTGGCCATCAGAAAATATATAAAGTTACGTTGCCAATAAGTCATGAAATTACCAAAATATTCCGAATATAGTACATAATTCTTGCTTATCCATATAACTCAAGTTGTGGGTTTTCAATTTGATGGGAATGAAATTATAAGCATGCAACAATGTAGATACACTGTCAATATTTAAGTCATGATTTGAATATGTAAATTTCTAAAATGCATAAATTAGACAGCTACCTCTGATAACAGATCACTCTAAATTGTAATATGGAGGACTCATGTATTTCTGTAAAGCTGCTTTAAAAACGTGTAGTGAGGAAAGCACTGTCCACATAAATGTGATGTGAATCGAAGATCGTGTGTTATGGGCACTCTTTTGGCCTCCCAGAATGCCCTAGCAAACACACATCAGCCCACTGAACCACTCACATGTGTCTCCTGCACCCGTCAGGCGGCGCGTACTTCATGATCTCCCGCACACTGGGGCCTGAGTTGGGAGGTCCCATCGGCGTGGTGTTTTCTTTCGCCAACGCTCTCGCTTGCGCGCTCAACACGGTGGGATTCGCCGAGACGGTCAGAGATCTTCTCATTGTAAGAAACTCACACAGTCCTTTAGATGCATGACATTATGTTGTGTTTTTGTGGATTGTGATATGATGTTTGTTTTTGATCCAACAGGAGTTGGACTCCCAGATTGTGGATTCAGTCAATGATGTCCGCATTATAGGATCCATCACAGTCACCGTATTGCTTCTCATCTCATTGGCTGGGATGGAGTGGGAGGCAAAGGTACAGTCCTCAAAACAAAGCAAGTCACTGCGGACAATATGTTAGGCAACTTCATTTTGCTTTTGAATAATATATATACTTTGCATATACATATATATATATGAATTGTACCATTTGGATTACATAGTTTTAACATAAAATAAATAATCAGTATATGCATATTTGTCATTACATAAATAAGAAGGTATGAAACGGGCAAGAAATCATGTCATATGTCTTCATTTGCATCTATTTGGTTTTATTTAAATAACACTATTTCAAAATGGATTTATTCAAATGAATTGTATTGCACGTTTTCATATATAAATACATAAAGCTGGTTATTGTGTGTTTAAAAGCATTTAGTTTAATTGTATTATTACAGAAATGTGACGTGTTTCCTGGTGAAAATGAACGATTTATCACTTTTTGAACGTCCCTTTAGGGGTTCCTGGACGATTTTTTTGTCTGCTGAATCCATTTGGTCTCATTTGTTTATCTGAGATTTCAAGAAAAGCTAACCTCTCACCCTTTGAATTCAATTTGTTTTGACATTGAGCCGTTCTGTCTGAATCTCCTGAACCTGCAGTTCCCTCACTCTCCTCTAGAGGCTCCACAAAGCCCTTGTTCTGAAACTGAGCATCGTCTCAGTGCTTTCCTTCACAAGGGTTCTGCTTTTATCCTCCCACAGACTCAGATCCTGTTCTTCTTGGTTCTTATGGTGGCCTTCACCAACTACTTTGTTGGCACCGTGATTCCTGCGACTCCCCAGAAACAGTCGATGGGTTTCTTCAGTTACCGCAGTGAGTGTCGAACGCTCAAGTGCCGCATCTCAAAAAGATCTCTCTGTCAAGATCCTAGAAGTTTGATTGCTTTAGAAATGCTTAACTTCTATAAAGATGATAGCTTCCCAAACTGCAACACAGTGTCGGCCCACGCGTTGAGTCCACATGTACCAGATGTGGCCCGGATCTGGGCCGACACTGTGTTGCTCTCTGGGTTACAGAAAAGATTTGTGATACAGAAAAGTACAACATTTTGTATTTAAAGTGTGCATTTTAAAGCTTTAGTATGACTTCAGAAGACATGGACTAATTTTATGGTGTCTCCATAAAAAAATGTTATGGTGTCAGTCACTGTAAAAAACTTTCTATGAAAAAACAACACTAAAGTTGGATAGATTTTCCATTAACAGAATGAATAAATAATAACTTTTCCGCTAAACTCGCTCTGGAAATGATCTTGCACAATGTAACTGATGTATTTTGATATCTCCGTTGTTTCTGCCAGGCGAGATCTTCCTGGAGAACCTGTTCCCGGACTGGAGAGGGCCGGACGGCGACTTCTTCCGGATGTTTGCCATCTTCTTCCCATCCGCCATCGGGATCCTGGCCGGAGCAAACATCTCAGGCGATCTGAAGGTGAAGAACATCTGCAAACATGTGCCAACCAAAGTGACTCAACTGAGCTTTGAGTTATTACACATAAGTTCTTGGAGAATAAGTGCACGAATGAATAAATAAACTTTACGTTTCATCTCAGTGTTTTTAAAATTGCCAATTGAATGTTTCAGGAGCCTGAGATCGCCATCCCACGAGGGACATTGATGGCCATATTCTGCACCACCATTAGTTATCTGGCCATATCTTCAACTGTGGGTGAGTGTTTAAACATTGCCTAATTCTGCCTAATTCATATGGAGTGAGTATCAACACCAACGTTCAATAAGTCCGTTTGTTTCTCATGCAGTTAATACGTCTGATAACAGGCTGCAAAGACAATTTTAAATGTGCAAACAGCATATTTGGTGCATTAAATAAGAATAAATTCTTATTTAAGAATTGTCTCTAACATTATCTTTCATTAAATTTAATGACATGTCTTGGAATTAAGACTTTGATTTATTGTGTGACACTGTGAGTTTAATATTGTGTGTGGTAATATTGGAGAAATAGTTGATTTTAGCCAAAAGTCGATAAAGATATAGTTGTAAAAATCGTTTAAAAATATAAAATAATAGCAGAGTCCACATCACAACTATAAAATGGCGGCACAGAGGAATGGCAGCATTGGAGTCTCTTTCAGAATGATTTGTTTGTCCTGCTGATGAACGCTAAAAACATTCACAGCCGATGAGTATCCATCCAGCTACCCATTAAAGAGAAAATGTTTGTAGTAACCTGACCACAAAAAGAACTACAAAATTCGACTGCGTTACGTCAAGCGCCACAATAGTCATTATTTCGTTTTTCTTCGATTCTGATGTCGCAATACATCATTCTTTCATGAAATCATGTACCATACTCTATCTTGTCTGTGGACATCGTTCATTCCAAAGCCGGTGCTGGATAAACAACGAGCGTGTGTGTGACGCTAGGCTAAATTATTTACGATAGCGGTAATGGACAATTCCGTTTCCAACCAGTAGGGCGACCGCAGAGAAAAAGTTCCATGGTGTTGCTTTAACATCTCAAGTCATTTTGCTTCTGTGTATAGACCCCTTTTGCGCCGACGTCACAGTTACGTCACGGCGCTAGCTGGAGGCAAAACAAAGTGAAAACTGGAGGCGGCCAATACAAACCAGCACAGATTCGGCTACATTATAAGGAGCTTAAATTACTTTTATTATTTTTAAATGTCATCTTATTGTGTTGTTTGGTGCAAGTATCAATGAAAAATGAATATGCTGTATCTGGATTTTTTATTTCTAGAAAATATTCACATCATTAAAATCGCACTGTAATGTCACTCTTTACATTGTTGTGGTCTCGGCGCTGGCTCGGCAGAACTGCGGATCGTACACACAAGTCTTGTACAGGACCATATAGGCATCTAAAGATTTATATGCCCTCAGTTTCTCTTTACGATCGGTTTCTCTATAAGGTATGTGTAGAAGTCAGGCCACTCAACCGAGGTAACGTAACGTTATCCTGTCAGATCGTCCATGCATTGAGTGAGCGTGTAGGCGGCTACGGGTCGGCCAATCTGGTTCTGTCCGTTAAAAATAACTTTTGGAAATAACAATCGCGGTCCTGGACACTGAGTGACCTTACACATTAAGATAAAATCTGATTTTCTCCAGTCATTGTTAAAAAACAAGCTAATAAAACTTGCTAACTAGCGTTAGTGAAGCGGCCAGAGACTAGGGTTGGGTATCGTTTGAATTTGAACGATTCTGATTCCGATTCCGATTCCTTGTTTCGATTCCGGTTCCCAACGATTCTCGATTCCGATTCTTTTAAGAGGCAGGGTCAAAAAAGTTTTGCTAACCTTGCTAATCAACGGTCTTTCTGAAGGAAATACACCTTCTGTCACAAATACTCCTTTTGTCACAAATTTTGCATTTTGCCGAGATTTCGTTATTTTTAGAAAAGTGAAGCCACACTTTGGACCGCCGACGTAAGCTACTCATGTTCGACTCGCGCGGTTATGCCAACACTTCCGGTAGACGCTTCTTCGTTGGTGTTGTTCAGCGGTTTCTTCTTCCGCTCGGCGGACTGTGAATATCAAAACTAGGAATCGAAATTTTAACTTTTGAACGATTCCGGGTTCCAATCGATACTCGATTCTCAATACCCAACCCTACCAGAGACCTTTCTGCCTCCACCTAAGCTCCGCCCACAAAAAAGTCACTATGTTTACCAACTGTAAAAGGGTCTATTGGTAATAATGGCAGCGTGAGCATGATTCAGTTTTGTGCGTTTGTCCCACAGGAGCGTGTGTTCTGCGCGACGCCTCAGGGAACCTGAACGACAGTCTTCCGCTGAACTTCAGCGAGGCGTGTGACGACCTGAGCTGCGGTCTGGGCTGGAACTTCACCGAGTGCCGGCAGAGCGGCTCCTGTGCCTTCGGCCTGTCCAACAACTTCCAGGTGAACAGACTCACTTTTGATTGTGGTGTAGTGTGAATGGAAGATGGGTTGGTCCACTTGCCTCAAAATCTCAGGGGACACATTTGTATGGTTTGCTTTGACAATGTGTGAATTAATGAATCATGTGGTTTCCCGCTCGAATCCGCAGGTTCTGATCCAGGTGTCGGGCTTCGGGCCGCTGATTTACGCTGGCATATTCGCAGCCACCCTGTCGTCCGCCCTCGCGTTCCTCGTCTCCGCACCCAAAGTCTTCCAGGTCAAACACCACACCTTACACAGATAATCGCTAATATTTAACTTCATACCATCATCAAAGTGAACATCAACTCATTTTGAACATCTGCTCTTGGTACAGTGTCTCTGTAAGGACAATATCTACCCGTACATCGGTTTCTTTGGAAAGGGTTATGGGAAAAACAGCGAGCCACTGCGAGCGTATCTGCTGTGTTACATCATCGCCATGTGCTTCATTCTGATTGGTGAGTCAAACATATATATGAAAAAGCTACATTCACCTCAACTTGCATTATTCAACGATAATACTGTACATTCTTATATTTTCTATGCACAGTTTGTTTATGCAGTTTCTAGGCATAACATATGATATATTTATACTATTTATGATGTTAAATACAATACATGAAATCCTATTCACTTTTAAAAATACTCGGTTGTTTTAAACCAATTTTGGGCCAGATATGGTAAAAACCAAATGTTGGTTTAAAAATGAAATTCAAAAAATGGAACCCAACGGCTGAGATTGTTCATATTTGACCCAAAGTTGGGTTTTTATAGTGTACTGCACATATTCTGTATGTTATATATTTTATACACACTCTAAAAATGCTGGGTTGTTTTAACCCAACTTCGGGTCAATTATGGACCAACCCAAATGTTGGGTTAAAAATGAAATTCAAAAAATGTAACCCAATGGCTGAGTTTGTTCATATTTGACCCAAAGTTGGGTTTTTAGAGTGTACCGCACATATTCTGTATGTTATGTATTTTATGGTTCACTCTAAAAATGCTAGGTTGTTTTAACCCAACTTTGGGTCAATTATGGACAAAACCAAACGTTGGGTTAAAAATGTAATTAAAAAATGTAACCCAGTGGCTGGGTTTGTCCATAATTGACCCAAAGTTGGGTTAAAAGTTAAAACAACACAGCATTTTTTTGGAGGGTATAGTAACTTTTTAACGTTCCCTCTCATCTGGGCAGCTGAGCTGAACGTAATCGCTCCTCTGATCTCCAACTTCTTCCTCTGCTCTTACGCGCTGATCAACTTCAGCTGTTTTCACGCTTCCATCACCAATTCACCCGGTGAGTTCAAAATACCAAAGCAAACCAGATTATCTGTTCTGAAGACTGAGTATTTCATGCTCATGTGAAGTTACATTACTTTGAAAGTTTGTTCAGTCTGGATTTTTGTTTCTTCCCTCTGTTTTCTGCTCGTCTCAGGGTGGAGGCCATCGTTTCGGTATTACAGCCCCTGGACGGGTTTGTTCGGGGCCGTTATTTCTGTCGTGCTGATGTTCTTGCTAACCTGGTGGGCCGCGCTCATCTCTTTAGCTTTAATCATCTTCTTATTCGGCTATGTGGCCTACAATAAACCAGGTGAGCAGGACCATGATGACCCATCAGAGTAAAGATCGCATTGAAACGCTGTGCTTTTACTGACCGTAACGATGTTTCCGTGTCGTTCAAGAGGTGAACTGGGGTTCGTCTGTCCAGGCCAGTACCTACAACATGGCTCTGTCCTACTCCGTGTCTCTGGCAGGAGTCGAAGACCACGTCAAGAACTACAGGTCAGAGGATACAGGAGGTTTTATGGGATGTGGACGATAGACTGAAGATGCACTCTTAACAGTATTAACTTCGTCATAATTATGAGATAAAAAGTAATAATTTTGAGATAAGAATCCAAAATGACACGCACTAAGTCATTACTATGAGATAAAAAAATATTTTTTTTCAAGCCAAAATGATGACTGTCATAATTGGTGAGATAAAAGTCAATTATGAGATAAAACATAATAATTATGAGATAAGAAACTAAAATGATGAGTAGACTTGTGGGATACAAAGTATTTTTTAGATAAAATAATAATGATGAGATTGGAAACCACAATTATGACTTACTGTGTCATAATTATGAGATAAAAAGAAATTTTTAGATAAAGCCAAAATAATGACGCTCTAAGTCATAATTATAAGATAAAAGTCAATTAAATTATGAAAGTAATAATTATGAGATAAGAAGCCAAAATGACATGTACTAAGTTATTATTATGAGATAAAATTCTTATTTTTTTTCAAGCCAAAATGAGGGCTGTCATAATTGGTGAGATAAAAGTCAATCATGAGATAAAAAGTAAAATTTTAGATAAAACGTATAATTATTGAATTGAATTGAATTATGAGATACAAAGCCAAAAGAATGACGTTCTAAGTCATAATTATAAGATAAAAGTCAATTATGATAGAAAAAGTAATAATTATGAGATAAGAAGCCAAAATGACATGTACTAAGTTATTATTATGAGATAAAATTCTTATTTTTTTTCAAGCCAAAATGATGGCTGTCATAATTGGTGAGATAAAAGTCAATCATGAGATAAAAAGTAAAATTTTAGATAAAACTTATAATTATTGAATTGAATTGAATTGAATTATGAGATACAAAGCCAAAATAATGACGTTCTAAGTCGTAATTATAAGATAAAAATCAATTATGAGATAAAAAGTAATAATGATGAGATAAGAAACCCAAATGAAGACTTAATGTCTTAATTATGGGATAAATAGTCATTTTAACATTAAAAAATAATAATTATGAGATAAACAGCAAAAAGTCTTTGACTTGAAATGACTTTCTAGGTAATTATAATTTAGATTTTTTTTAAATGTCATAATTTGTACTGTTTTATCTCATAATTATGACTTGCTGTGTCACAAACAAGGCCATTGTCTAATTACTTTTCAAAACTTTTTATTATCTCATAAATATGACAAATTATTATAATGCCATATTTCATCTTTATAAATCTCATAAATTCAAATTTTAAAACATTTTAAATAATGGAGAAAAAAATGTATTTCTAGCACCATGAACCCATTGAACAGCCTCATTTTCATTCCCAATAAATGAAATGTTAAATTACACGTGCGTTTCGTCTCATAGGCCTCAGTGTCTGGTTCTGACGGGTCCTCCGAACCTGCGTCCAGCGCTGGTGGACTTTGTTGGCTCTTTCACCAAAAATGTCAGTTTGATGATATGTGGAGACATTCTCATGGTAAGAACCAGCTGTATATCATATATAGAAATGCTTTATTTTTGAGTAACACGTCTAAACGAGGCGGTTCTGCCCTCAAAAGAGCTGAATGTTACGGATCTGCTATTGTCTCTTCAGGAGGATGAGAAGTCGATTGTGTCCCAGCGCAACACCAGTGACATGATAAAGTGGCTGAATCAGAGGAAGGTTCGCTCCTTCTACTCGGCCTTCAGGGCGTCCAATCTGAGAGACGGAGCCCGGCATCTTCTACAGGTGACAGATCTCGTTCACAACCCATCACGGTGCAAATCGGACTTTAACATGAATTATTACAGCAAAACGATTTTGTTCATTGCACATAATGGGTCACATTCATGAAACATGAGCAGAATGAATTTGTGTGTAAATGGTGTGTAAAGTGGTTCTGGCGTAAATTTTCGCATTCGATAAAATGTTCGTATTTTCCGAATGTTAGTTGGTACGCAAGAAATCTACACCTGCTCCCAGCCACGTGTAAACGGTGCGCTTCACATCCGAACGTTTTGCTCATTAATAAAGCTGCATTTAATTCACCTTAATCGGGTACATATTTAAACATTTTGAAAAAAAATATATATATATAGTAATTACATACGGGTTTTCTTTTTACTTTTATTACGATAGCCAGTAATATATCTGGTGATCGATGGCGGTCCTTCTCCAGTTTGAATACGATTTTTACGAAATTAACTAATTCGTTTTTTGCTGTCAAGCTTAAAGTCGAACCATTTTCCTCTCACTTCTGGGACTGTTTGATTGACAGATGAAACTCCATTAACTGCATCTGCCAAGCTTCCTTTTTTTTAGGACCTGATACGCCACTATGTACGCTTGAAAATAAAATTGCCGTTTTGAATGAACTTCTGATAAAAAAACTTCAATTTCTGCATCCGAGAAATCTTTCTTTTTCATTCGCATTCACGTTATTATATGCCTATATATAGATGTCAGTCGGATATAATGGGCGGGATTTATGGTAATTGAGAATGAACGTGCACGGCACGCGCATCCCATTTACGACTGGTTGGAATTCATTAACACACACACGCATTTCACTATCACATCTGACGTTTACGAAGTATTTGTGAATCAGGAGAAGAGTTTTCGGGAAGGCGCAAATCACTCTCGTATTACTCGTATATTTACGAATGTTTCATGAATGAGACCCAATGACTGCTTGTGTTTCATGCGTAAAGCCCTGTGATTTTTATTCTCTATGCTGGTTATTGCTTTTTTTTTTTATAGGGAGTTTCTTTCAACTTAATGTATAAAATATGATCATTTCCCCCTCTTAAGGCCTCTGGTTTGGGAAAGCTGAAGCCGAATATACTGGTGCTGGGATTCAAAATGAACTGGCAGGAGAGCAGCAGTCAAGCCATAGAGGACTACATCAACACCATCTAGTGAGAGACAACTCCCTCACAAACCCTGGCATCTGTCCAGACACAAAGATCGAACTATATTTGACTAAAATAAGCTAATCACACAAAGGAAAAAAAATCATTATCTTTATTGGAATGCAAAAAAAAATAATAATAAATAAACTTTATTTATTTTATTGGTAGACACCATTTATGCAGATTTTATTTAAAACAAAAACTACATAAAAAGAAGCCTTTTCTAATGAGAATCTTAAATGAGAATGAAAATAACAATTTGGAGGGAAAAGTGAAATTTGGAGGGAAAATGTGAAAATTTTCATTTCACTTCTATTACAATTCATGGCATATTTTGTTAATAGTGAAAATTGACATGAACACATGCCCAGTAATGCAAAACAACTGTAATGCAAAAAAAAAAAAAGGCAGCATAAATTAAAATAAATTAACCTTTTCTAAAGAGAATCTCCACTGAGATCGAAAATTACAATTTGGAGGGAAAATGTGAAGATTTGTTTTAAGAAATATCAGAATCAGGAGAGTCATCTGAATTATTGTAACCTGCCAATGAATTAATTAAACAACATAAATCCAAGTTACTGTTAATGTTTTAAACTTAAATCAGCTTGTATATTGAAAATGTACAAAATCAAGTGCCCAGTAAATCATCTTATTGTATTTATTGTAATGCAACAACATTTTATTTATATATATATATATATTTTTTAATTTATTTAAATCATACATGGACATTTTGTGTTCTATTAACTTAATGTATGCTGATATTTAATCATAATAATATAAAGCACTGTAAAGTATCATTTTCATTGACAATTTTGGCGGGGAAATGTGCTTTATTTGGTTAATGGTCCTAATAAAAGGCCTCATTTCTGTTATGTAAAATATAAAAACGTGGCCTGGATACGTTTTGTGAGATTGATATGCAGAAATGACGTATTTTTCTTTGGTTTCAGCGATTCTTTCGACTCCAACCACGGAGTGTGTGTCCTGCGCATGATGGACGGACTGGACATCCGAGACGAGTTACAGGCTGAGGGTGTGTCCCGTGTGCAAATGTGTGTGTGCTTTTAATGTGCATGTGTATTACTGAGGTACTTCTGTGTTTCTGGCAGTCAATCAGGGCTTTGAGATGGACGAGGCCGTCGAGTCCGATCAGCAGATTTCAGACGCAGATTCAGGTGATTCACCTCAAACCGGTCGATGCGTCTTCTCTTTGTTCTTCAGTCCTTATCTCACTTCCTTGTTCTCTTCTCATCTGTTTCTCCCTCATAGACGTCGACAACACAAAGAGCGCGGCGAACGATCAGATCAAAACTGTGTTCCAGAATAAACAAGGGAAGAAGAGCATTGACGTGTACTGGATCTCTGACGACGGAGGTGAGATACGGACTCCAGGCATCATTTGGGTTCAGTTCTGTTTAAACAGTTGAGTAATGTGAACCTCGCTCTCTGTCTCAGGTTTGACTTTGTTAGTGCCGTACCTGTTGACCAGAAGGAAGCGCTGGAGACGATGCAAAGTCCGAGTGTTCATCGTCGGAGAACAGCAAACCATGGAGAACGAGCGCAAAGAGTGAGACTTGTGAATCACTGATCATCAGAATATCTCAGTTAATTCTTCTAGACAGCATTTAGATTAATGGAGAACTTTTTCTGAAGGTCTCCAATGTTCAACGTCTCAAACTGTGCTCAGATTTGTTCAGTCAAAGTCAGGCATCTCAATATGACCTCAAGCATCTCTCGATCAAACTCTCCCAAGATCAAATGATATCTTAGACTATAATCATTGAAATTATCAGATTTAACAAGAACGTTAGACCTCGCTATTTCAAATAGCGAATCATCAGAGTCTTAATATCAATAGCTTGTTTTCATATGACGTCACGCCACTGCGTTGCCATGGCGCGAAATACAAATGGAGGGCAGGAAGTGATTTGCTGTATTTAGAAAGCACTATAACAAACTCAAAATGCCTGTGTTTGAGTCATTTATGGTTACTTGAATCGAACAAACCACAAGGAGATTTTATCGTGTACCAAAAGTTGTTGGAAAATGCAAGAAATTGACCGTAAAACTCCTACGTTTGCGGTCGGGAGGAACCGAATCGGAAAATGCCTGTTTGTGTGACTTAGTGTCAAAGGTGAGTTAATACAACTTAAGTGGCTATGTTTGTTTAACGTGTAACGTTTCCGAACTTTGTAAAGTCAAAATATGTCTGAAAGACGAGGTTGTTGCTGATATCTACCGCCTCGATGGCTGGAAAATATTCCAATTTAGTTGAAAAAACGCTCCTCCTCTTCATAACGTAAGGATCACGTCCAACATATGTTTGATTTTTTGTTTATTTATTTCTCTTGTAATAGCGTGTAAAGTAGTACAGTACGGACTTTCCTCCATCTCGTCCATTGCGCTCTTCAGTCCCTGCCCTCCATCCGAATTCCGCACGTCATCATAATCACGTGACTGAAACCCAGCTATTTTTATATTTCACCACAATTGTCATTCTATGAATAATCTGAATTCAGACTCATTCATTTTAGTAGGCCTCCTTCGGTTGTTTGTCGACCATAACTGGAATCTTCCGTCAATTTCATTAAACTACACAAATACAAGCTCAAAAATTCTAAGAATATATTTTATGGCGAAGAGTGTCTTGTATCGTAACTAGGGCTGGGTATTGACACAAATTTCACAATTCGATTCGATTTCGATTCCGATTCGATTCAATATTGATTATTTTGGATATCAGTTACAATAAATGGCACATTTTCTCAAGGAAATCAAATCTCTTAACTAATGCTGTAAACTATGGGAGTAAACTATGAAATATAAACATTTAAATGGTGGCTGTCATAAAAACTTGCCAGATTAATTCAAATATGCATTAAATATTGAAGAACATTAAGATTATAATGCGTAATATGGTGTATATATTTAGCAAAATGCTCCTCTCTAGAGTTATTTTTTTCTAGCTGACTAACGAGTTAATGTGGGTTTTCTGAGGTAAATATGACGATGACATTGATTACAAGCTGTTTAACTGACGTCTTTCCTCGGTTGAAACGCTGATTGAGTGAATCAATGTGACATGATCTGGATTTCGATAAGTTGTACTCTATCTTTAACACACTTTCAGATGCTCATTTATGTTTATTTGGCGCTGTGACTGGTATTATTAAGCCGGAAGAGAGATCAGCGCTGCTGCTTCTCCAGAGCGATCTCACGCCACAGCGACAAAACACTATTTATGTTTCTGAATTTCTAAAGAAAATGGACGTAATTTGAAAATTGAGACTTTGTTTCATATCAATAGTAACAAAGGTCAAAGATTCTTGCGATTTTTTTGGATGCGCGCAGCCGCGATACAATGTCCAATTCATTCAAATGAAACAGGATGACTAATCGATTCTTGAGATTTAAAAATCGATATCGGTTCGTAAAAAAGAGAATCGATTAATATCGAGAAATCGATATTTATTACCCAGCCCTAATCGTAACCCTGCTTGTTTATTGAATGTACATAAAAGCTGTCAGTAACTATATCTCTATTTTCTCTTATATATTAAGTAACTCATTTATTAATAAAATGTCTTTGTTTGCTCAGAATGTTGACCTTGCTCCAGCGTTTCCGACTGGACGTTCATGACGTCATCGTGATGACGGACAGCGAACGGCCACCGCTTGCCAAAAAGTAGGTTTATCCCAAACGTGTGTGAAATATACGATTTTTAACCATAGATATCCATAATAAAGTATGGCGGAGTCTCTATCGTCATCACCGGCGGCCATCTTGTCACAGTGTTCCCGATGTAAGATGAGTGATCAGCACGAACACAAATACTCTTATCTCGGTGAAATCTCGACGGATTTACAAACGGTTTGGTTTCTTACAAACGTTATTAACGTGGCTATGATTCTGGATGATTATTTATTTATACACTTATTGTTCAGAAGTGTGCAAACGTCATCTCTGACGTTTATAACACAACCAAACAGTTTGAAAATCGGTAGAAAATTGAGTTATTTAAAAAGTGCGAGTTGCCTGTGACAAGATGGCCGCCAGGTGCGGACGTCGACCTCCACTGGCCAGCAGCGCGGATGAGACATCTAGCCTTTATTATGGATATCTAACACCCAAACACAATAACAGAACTTCTTTGTTGTCATTAGCACAAGGCGCTTTGAGGAAACGCTCGCCCCCTTCAGGCTGAACGAGGCACAGCTGGACGAGAGGACGGCGCAACAGCAGAGGACCGAGTGTCCATGGAAAGTCACGGACAAAGAGATGGACGCGCTGAGACTCAAGGTGCGTGTGTTTGACCTCAATGTCCCGCCACAATCATACATCCCACTTGGCATCTCAATTTTTTTCATCCTCCTTTTGACAGTCGGAGAAAAAAGTGCATCTGAACGAGATCATACGGAGGAATTCGAAGCACGCCGCGCTGGTCCTAGTGTGAGTATTGACTGGAAGACCATTAACCATTACTGGCCGCTGGTCAATATGTGATTCATACACAAAGAAAGCACAATCTGATAATATTGGAGCCTCATGAATCATTTATATCTGAAATGTTAAGACTCATAATTGGAGGGTAAACACTCCTGTTAATCATTAACACACCGGTGTTTCAGGTCTCTCCCCGTACCGCAGGCTGACTGTCCCAGATCTCTGTACATGGCCTGGCTGGACACGCTCAGCTGCGGTCTACACTGTCCCGTCCTGCTCATTCGAGGAAACCAGCAGAACGTCATGACCTTCTACTGCCAGTGAAACTCGCTTATCCGGCTCTTTAAGGCAAACACACTACAGGCTAAACGCACTTCTTTCATGCACTGCTCAGTTTTGAGATTTTTTGGCAAGTTTGCTTTTTACAAAATTATTTATGTATTATTTAAGACCCTCCGAGCAAAAAAAAAAAAAAAAAAAATACACTTCTAAGTATTTATTTTATTTTGTTTTGTCTATTCACTACTCTGGAAACAAAATCTACTCTGTTTTTCTGAATTAACGAGTTAATTATCTCAGAATTACAAGATCAAAAAATGTTTGCTCTGTTTTTCTGAATTAATGACTTGATTATGTCAAAAACTCAGAGCAAAAACTTTTTTTCCTTTAAAAATGATCTCGTAATTCTGAGATAATTAACTCATTAATTCAGAAAAACAGAGTCGATTTTTTTTTCTTCAAGTGAATGTAATACGCTTCTGTAATTTACATTTAACTTAATTTAACTTGTTTTCTCAAAAAAGATTTTTTTTCTAGACTTCAGGAGCACTGATATTCACCAACATGCACGGTTTTATTCTTATCTATATTCTAAAGGTTTTTACTGAGGGGTTTGTTCATATATAATTCATATCATTTTATACATTTTATATATCATCTTTTTAATGCAATTTTTAATATTTTTTGCTTTCTGATTTATGCTGTGATAAAAAGAGATATACAAAATCCACTCTATAAAAACCTTTATCTGTAACATGTCAACCAAATCAAACAACTTAAATTTAACTTAATTGCCTCAAATGCATATTTATGAATAACATTTTAAGAAATTGTATTACAAAAGAAATTCCAGTTCTTAATGTAATCAATCAACTATGGTGATGATATCTATTCATTTGTTTAACCCTTTTACCGATGGTGTCTTGCCTTAAAGAGTCGACTCAATTGGTCATGTGCAGTTTTTGCTTGTCGTTTGCTTTAAAATATTATACTATATTACATTAGTTAATGAATTTCCTGAGAATTGAACTCATGACTTGGCATTGTATAAATATATTTGAGGGCACTGTACATTTATGTTTTCAGTATGTTAAATGTGTTTTGTCTTTTTTCTTTTGCTTAAAGCTCATTATACAACATGTATTATTGTATTTCTATATTGTATGTCTATGTCAAGGTCTTGTATGGTGAAGGGATGAAGTTGATTAATTTAAATATTATATATATATATATATATATTTTTTTTTTTTTGAAAGGGGGCCATAACACAGAAACAGAAACACTCAATGCAATCTGTGTTTATTTTCAGCTGTAATGTTGTGATGCTTAAACTCTTTTATTTCCATGTGATTGAAAAACATTTATAACATGTTTTTTTCCTACTTGGTGTAATGAGACAATCAATAGAAATTGACATGTTCATCATTGTGCTAAATTACATTTTTTCACATTGAAAAGCAGATCAAAAACATACTTGTAATTCATAATAATCTAGTATTTATATGCAGTCAAAATGTAAAATTGTCTCAAATTTTCATTATAATGCTTGGGTCTATGAAATTTTAATTTTTACAAAGCAAGAACAAATAAACACATTTTAAAATATCATCATTTTGTCTTGTTTAAATTGCATGAAATTTGTACCCAGAAACAAAGTTTCATTGTTTCCCTCCACCAGCATAAGTATTTCTACTGTTATTCCCGAAGATTACAGTCATTTGCACATGTGATAAAAAAATACATCCACAGTAATACAATCAATGTACAAGAGGATTATGCAACTGGCATTAATGTGAGTGTTTTACTGGCAGTAGAAGGTCATGACATTCTCTTGGTTTCCTCGTATGAGCAGCGTGGGACAGTGGATGCCGTAGCTCAGCGCTTCCACCCAGGCCATATAGAGAGAACTGGGACAGTTGACATCAGGGACTGGAAGAGAACTGAAACACACATACACACACACATAATTGATGAAGAGACACATTAAACGTTCACACTACCAATCAAACACCTTAGATGCTTCATGATTAGTTTTAGAGACAAATACAAACTGTGCTAATGAAAAGGGTCAGTCAGTAATTACTCTCTCTCATGTTGCTCCAACCCGGTAAGACTTTCGTTCATCTTCGCAACACAAATTAAGATATTTTTGATTCAATCTGAGAGATGTCTTTCTCCTCCATAGGCTTCTATTGTAATAGAAACTTGCCGGTCCAGAAAGTTAGTAAAGACATTGTTAAAATTGTCCAAGTGACTACAGTGGCTTCAACCTTTCAATGAGGCTCACTATTGGCCAACGCTGGCCATGTGTGTGATGGCCAATAAGTTCTGACGGTCACTTGGACTTTTTTAACGATGGTTTTACTTTCTTTGAGTGAGACAGCTCTCAGATTGAATAAAAAATATCTTAATTTCTGTTCTGAAGATATTGCAGGGTTGGACAAAAATGAGGGAGAGTCATTACTGACAGAATTTTCATTTTTGGGTGAACTAACCCTTTAACTTCAGTTAATTCACTGACATAATATGAACTGACAAAGACTAATTGTATTTTTATTAACCCCTTATACATCAAAAATACCCATTGCATGACTATGGACAAATGTACAAAACAACATAAATTCTTACTGATTTGACCTAAAATTTGAAAAGTATAAATACATCTGGTGTTTTATTTGTTTTATAATATTTCTAAGTATAGATTTTTGTAATCTATAACATTTGGAAAGAAAAACTATTTATTTTATCAAGGATAGTAACACGAGTTATGTTTGGGGTCAATCTCACAAAAATGATGTTTTCCCCTCCCAAATGCACAGGAAAGAATTATTAGTTATCTTGAGAATTATGTCACATGTCATGTGAACTACTAGTAGTTCTCGCAATACTACAGATATGGTTATGTTTGGTTAGAGCCCTAAAACAGAGGGACGTTTTTTGAAAATGATATTGAATATGTAAAAATACAATGAACATTATAAATTCAAATTATAACATGTTATAATGACCTCAATACAACAATCAAAACAATTGTTTGTGAATTTTTAATATTTCCTCTGTTTTATTATACATCTAAAAGAGCCTGGGGTCAAATTGACCCCAAGGAACACCGATGCTACAAAATTTGTACAGGACTTTGAAAAAATATTAGCAGGTTAATTTTATGTTTACAGAGTTGTCCCCATCAAATTAGGAAAAGTCATTAAAAAATAAATAAATAAATAAAATTATGTTTTTACAGACGTTAAACATTGAATGGGGTCAAATTGACCCCAAGGATAATAGGAGGGTTAACTAATATTAACAAATAAGAACATTTTGTAAAGTGTAATCAATTTTAGTTCGTTTTAGCAATTGTGTTGTTTTTGTCATTGTTTATTTTATATCAAATCTATACTCACATTACAACTAAAGCAGCATTTATGGAGTTCTTCTTGATGATCTCGTTTAGTCTCACCGTCCTCTCCATCTGAAAATAAAAGAGTTAAATAGAGCATCTGATGGATCCCAGTTAACGGGGAACACAAGTTATGAACAAACTTTTTTCTAATAAACATTAACAGAATGTTCATTTAAAGAGGTGAATAGTTACATTCTTTAATAATGTTCTCAAAAAATTTACACAAAATAGCACAAAAACTGTAAATCTATGGAATGTTTTTATCTGGAATTTTTCACGTGAACATTCGTCTACTTTCAGTACATTCAGAGAATTTTCAAAAGTAATGTTCCCATCATTTTTGAAGCATGAAAAAAAAAAATGGAATATTTACTTAACATTCATACAACCAAGAAAAATAAACAACACACACACCTTGGGTTTAATGGCCTCCAGGTCTTTGTCGGAAACTTTCCATGGACTCAGTCTCTTGAGCTCCTGTACGTCTCCTCCAGCCTGTTCTTCACTCAGCAGGAAGGGGGCGATGGTTTCCTCATACCGCTGCCAACTACAAGAACAGAGAGGAAGTAAACCACAACACTTACTACAAACCTGCATGTTTTTGTCTGCGTGTTTCTTGGTGTAAGTTTCTCACTTTTTAGCTAGAGGAGCTTTATCCACGTCTGTTATCACGACAATGTCCTCGATCTCCAGTCGGAATCTCTTTAACAGCATCTTCATGCTGAAATGAGAAACACGTTGACTTGTCTGCATTTCAAAACTATCTAGTTAAGAAATGATGATCATCGACACTCTTACTCTTTACGGTCTTCCTTCATGGTCTGGTGGTCTCCTAAGATAAACACTCTGATTTTGCTCTTTTTCCAGCGGTTTCTTTTGGTGAACAAATACGGCACTAAAAGAGTCAGACCTGAAAGAGAGCATTCAGAATAATAAAATAGGAACGCAAACTGTAGAAAAGTGTCCGTGACTGCCCACCTTCTGGATGTGGCACAGTCCGAGATGTTATACAAAAAAAAAAAAAAAAAAATGATGGTCCAACGCAGCTACACTATGGTGCAATGATGGTGTTTATTTACACTAGCATGAAACAACCACGAAGTATTTACAAGTGTAGAGACCTGGATAAATGTTTGGGTTTTTAAATAACAGTATAGTTTTTTTATAGGAGGAGAATTTTATTATTTCTATTTGGGTCCGAATAGATAGGCTACACACATATGGAAACAAAGATGTTGATGGGCTTGTTTTTTTTTCTTTTTTCATGTTCTTATTTGAGATATGTTTATAAAAGTTTTTTTTTTCAAATGTGTGTGTAAAGGAAAACAAATAATACAATGGGACATTTAATTGTATTTTCTGAGAACGCCAGTTTTTGACGATGAGAACTGTGTACTTTGACCTCGGAAGAATTACGTCATTGGAAAGAAAAAAAAGAAGAGAAGGAAATTGAAGCAACGCAGTTGTTTTTCTCGCGCGCGATTGACGAGTGAAGTTCGTCATTCTGAAAAGGCTGACGGCAGACAAAGCTCAGGAACAATTTTGAGTTTTGTGTAAACTGGAAAAAGTGTCACGCATGAGTTTTCAGCCGATTGTGAAGGGAAAAAAAGATCGCGAGAGAGTTCGGTGAGAGACTGGGCACTTCAGTTTCACGTGAGTGAACGAGATGGAGGAGAACACGAGGGTCCCATGTGAGAGAATCTGTGTTTTCTACTATCACGTTGATTATATATATATTTTTAGTTTAGTTTTAGATGGTGAAATCCGGAAGAATACCTGTGTTTATTTTCTGAAGTTCAGTGAGTGTTACAGTAATTAACTGTTAACTAATTCTGTTGACATTCGGAAGAATATACCCGTGTTTATTTGGTTAATTTTGGATAAAAGTATCGCAAGTGGTGTATGCAGTTTGGAGTTCGAGTCAAGTGCATGTTTTTTTTTTTTGTCTTTAACACTGAGAGATCATAGAAATCGGGAGGTCTGTGTTGATTTTTCGCGGATCCTTTCAACCAGTTCGAGGAGGAAGGAGTTCATCGACATCCACTCAATATCGATGTGGGTTGCGTCACGGACATAGGCGGAGTTTGACATTCGAGCCAGGGGGGGCAAAAAAAAAAAAAAAAAAAAAAAAAAAACATGCTAAATAAACACATATTTATTTTTATCCCAAGAAAAAACAGTAAAACAATACACTGATATTTTATTGCCTTTATGTCATTGTAAACAGCTAGAACTTCGCATTAACAGCCACTTCGCGTCGCATCTTCGTTATAGGATCATAAAATGTGGACCACTTTTGCACTGTTAAAATATTATCTTCAACCTTAAAGTTTTCTTTCCTTTTTTCAAAACACATTCTGGCAATGATAATGATTAAAAAACTAGTTAAATTTCGCATTTATACTTCATGAATCATTGAAAAAAATTTAAGACACGGGATTAGGCTACCTATTGGTTTTGATGAGGGAAAAAAAAAACTTTACGAGTGCGGATTAGAACCTCGAACCTCCCGAGTCCTGGATCTGGACCATCACTGTATACACGAAAAAGGGAGTATATACTTTATATACTCACTATACACATGAAAAAAGTGCTATACTCTGACATTGTGCTCATTTTTATTTATGCAATAAAGGGCGTATATACTTATACTCACTATACTCGGACATTGTGCTCATTTTTATTTATGTACATCAGGAGCTACAGAACATCGTCTTTCAAAACATGACCTACTCGAAAGAGAGAAAAAGAATGAATGCGTACCCAGCACTTGTGAAAATGCCCTTTCGAGTACGTCTCTGTCCCCAGCACATTTCAAATTGACGCCCATTTATCGCAGAAAAGCTTCTCTCAGAGTTAGATGACACAATCGACCGAGTGAGCGATAACTTAAAGAGATTGGGGTTGGTAGTTTTTTACAGCTTTTTTAAGAAAATGCGATTACCCGTTTCAGCCACCGGGGGGGGCAACGCTCCCCCTGCCCCCCCGCAAACTCCGCGCCTGGTCACGGATGCTGTTTGTCATCTCGTTGGGGAGTGAAGATTGTGGATGACTATTCAACAAATGGAATCGTTGGTTTTCACTGCTTCGTGAGTACACTTTTGCATCAAAGAGCTCCAACTAGCGCGCCATCTGTGTACTGAAAATCCCAGCTGGGTAAATTTTGAGTAGTACATTGACATTTGTTTTTTTGTGGGTAATGGTGATGATTGGTATTCATTTTTGTTGAGTTGTGACTTTGTGAATTGAATTATTTATTCCATTGTCAAATCTAAAGAAACATAATCTGACACTATCAGGTGAAGATCTGAGATCTGGGTTATATGTTGATAGTGTAACTGAAGGGAAATGTGCCTTCACCGGGGTAGTGGATAAAATTAAGATCCCCTAGAAAGACTTTTACCTTGTGAGCCACAAGATTCTAACCAGTAGGAGAGCTACACAAGTGCTGAAGGGAAAAATGACACATATTTTATCTGAAACAAAACAAATACTTCCAACACAAAAGAGAACAAACTCCAAAAATATGTCCACTTATCCACTATATTGTTTCTATTCGTTAATGGCACTACTGTAGCTCACTCACTCATCCAGCCTACCGAGAGACAAAGTCTTTATTATGCACAAACAATGACGGTCTACAGAAGGGCTATTGTGCCAAATACCACCAGGTCACTCTGGCATTGTGGTCTTTCATGGAGTTGATCCAGCTCAGAGCCAGGTAGTCTGTCTCTAGGTCAAACTCTTGGGTCAAACAGCAAGTAATACCAGAGGCTATCAAGCGAGGCACTCTTTCTCAATGATTGAATATCTTGTTTCTAGACAAAAGTTTGAGGAACACCATTGGTTTCTCTGCACCAGTGGTCCCCTGGGCCAGGACAGCTCCTATATCTTTTGCTGAAGCATCTACCTGAGCCAGGAAACACTGGGTGAGATCAGGAATTTCCAGGACCGAACGTGAACGAAGAACTCTTTTTTTCAGGGTTCTGAATGCTGTCTCACAGTCCTCTGTGCAAGGTAGGGGTTTCCTCACCATTTTAGCTAGTAGGTTGGTCAGTGGAGTGGCTATCAGACCCCACTGAGCTTTGACCGGCTTTACCAGACCATGTTGGTCCAACAGCTAGACCAATACCAATCCAGACTGAACAAGTTTGGAACTTCAAGTTTTGAAGCGAGTTTAAGTATCATGCAGTCGTGTCTCACCTCCATCATCAGAGATCCAGTATATGTCAATGGTCTTCCTGCCCTGTTTCGTTTGAAACACCGATCTGACCTGATCGTTTGAGCCATCATCAGAAATGTCTGGATGGGGAAATCAAAAAAGGAGGTTTATAAAGGTCAGGGGTCTGATCCCACCAAATGAAGCTTGATTGAAACAACATGGCATTGTTGCTTATAATGGAAGCATTCTGATTGGCTGACAGAGTGATGACATCAGGTCTTCAAGTGTTGATAATAACATTCTATTATTTTATGATTATTTAAGCCCTGTTCACACCAAGAAAAATAACTGTAAGGGTAACTATAACCAAAACTATTTTAGCATCCACACCAACGCAAAATATCATTCTGTTTATTATAAGCGCATGCTACATTTTTGTCGTCTACCATTTTAAATGCTCATTCTCTTTAAAGTCAAGTTGAATCTGATTGGCTGCCAGTGTTTTTGTCATTTGAAAAAAATAATTCTGAAAATGATTCAAATGATCAATCATTCCTCTGCGTTGCTATAATTGTGTTGTGGACTCTAATTTTTACTCCCTTTCTAATTTTTAAAAACGAAATCATTATCATTATAGTTATTGACCTCGGTGTCCTCTGGGTGTGTCAAATTATATTTTTGAGCGCAAAAAAAAAAAAACTGGTTACCTGAATTCCGGTCTGTCTCGTCAATTTCGGTTTGCTTGACTTCATCTGCGTCGAATGCTGGATTGTCAATTGCTGTTGATCGGCCTTCAGCCAAAAAACAAAAATCGAATTGTATCTTATACCTCCAACTGCAGCGTCAATCCATTTTCAAGTTATTATACTGTATAAAACACACAGTACACACCTGAACTCTCCAATGCATCCATAACGTTCAATCCATCCATCATTCTCAGAATTGCGATGCCGTAACTGGAGTCAAACGCGTCGCTGAACAAAAAAGATTAGACAGCATCAATATACATGGCAAATAAACAGATATTTGTGAACAAAATCTGCAACTGAACACACCTGATGGTGTTGACGTAGTCCTGTAAACTCTCAGGTTTACATTCCTGCCAGTTCAATTTGTATCCGATAACGAGGGTGTTCGGCTTCAGTTTACCAAGACCTGAAGCCTAGAAAGATGATTGAGTCTTTGAGAAGGACGTAATGAGGAGAAGAAAAAGGTGTTAGAAGAGATTAGAGATCGCCTTACCTGCATGAGATTGGACGCGCCCTCTTTCAGACTGTCGGCATTGAAGGACGTGTAGAAAGAACGAACCTTCCTCTGATTCAGCCAGTCCACCAGCATATCGGTGCTGTGCTGCGGAAAACTGGACTTCTCGTCCTCCTGAAAGCATGAGAGTGCGATAAAGCCACGACACCTTCACATCATGAGTGCGCACTGAATAAGACGTTTGATGTTAAAATGCAAGGAGAATTTGTTTTCTGTAAATCATATGTGACCTTTCCCCTATTTTCTCCGAATATTGAATCTCATCTGGAGCGAGCGGCATGGTTTCAGTTGGTGGCTCCAAAGAGGATTTTGGTGACACAATGGGCCCTATCAAACACCTCTAGCAATGCAGTGGCAGGCGGGACGCAAGTGTTTTGTGCTAGTTTCAGCCCGCCACGTTGTTAAAATAGCAAATGCATTTCCGACCATTTGTGCGCCCACTGGCATGCTGGTCTAAAAAGCAGGTGTGTTCAGGCGCATTGTTGATGTGTTGCTATTTTGAGGCAACTGAAATGGACTGGAGCAGTCTTTTTCAGTTGTCATTTAAAGAGAACGTTAGTAATGTGCGCCTATGTGGGTCCGACACTCGTGTACACTCTGCTTATTACATACTCAAGGACATGCAGCACAAAAACATGCCAAATACAAATAAAATGATTACAATGTAAATGATTAATATTGTGTACATGAAGATATGGTGGAATCCAGCTTGTCCCGTAGATTTAACCTTGCGCACGAGCAGATCCATTTGCTCTCTGGAGACACGTTCAGTCATTCCGTTTGCAAATTTCACCATGTGAAATTGCGAATCCGCCAAGGCGCAAAAGCGAATCCGAAGAGCGCAAAAGCGAATCCAAAATCGAATCCGCCAAGGCGTAAAAGCGAATCCGAAGAGCGCAAAAGCGAATCCAAAATTGAATCCGCCAAGGCGTAAAAGTGAATCTGAAGAGCGCAAAAGCGAATCCGAAGAGCGCAAAAGCGAATCCGAAGAGCGCAAAAGCGAATCCAAAATCGAATCCGCCAAGGCGTAAAAGCGAATCCGAAGAGCGTAAAAGCGAATCTGAAGAGAGCAAAAGCGAATCCGAAGAGCGCAAAAGCGAATCCGAAGAGCGCAAAAGCGAATCCGAAGAGCGCAAAAGCGAATCCAAAATCGAATCCGCCAAGGCGTAAAAGCGAATCCGAAGAGCGTAAAAGCGAATCCGAAGAGCGCAAACGCGAATCCGAAGAGCGCAAACGCGAATCCGAAGAGCGCAAAAGCGAATCCGAAGAGCGCAAAAGCGAATTCAAAATCGAATCCGCCAAGGCGCAAGTGCCACTGGTTTTTAAAGGGAATGGGAATTTTTTGCACGTTACACCCAAAACACACCCATTACTCATTAAGAGAATAGAGACAACCCTTTTAGACTATGCGCCAGGCACACTGACCATTTTTCCCATCGTTAACCTTTAAAAGTGGATTCGGACGCCCTAAGTGCACTTGCGCCCTGCGCTTTAGAACATGCACTTAGATCCTTAAAATAGGGCCCAATGTTTCTGGCTTCATCTGATGTTGATGTTGACACCCAGCTCCGGTTCTTACCACGATGATGTTCCCACAGATCATCAGGCTGATGTTTTTGGTGAAAGTGCCCACAAAGTCCACCAGAGCGGGACGGGTGTTCGGAGGGCCGGTCAGAACGAGACACTGAGGCCTATGAGAGAGTTTATCATGAGCAACTGGTGTATCATGATCAGATCGGTACCATTTACTTTTACAGTCTCACCTGTAGTTTTTGACATGATCACTCACACCAGTCAGAGACATCGAGAAGGACAATGCCATGTTGTAGAAACTGGCCTGATAAGATGAGCCCCAGTTAATCTCTGGACACATGATCAGACAACAGTCAGTGTGTTCAAATAACTGAATATAAAGTATGCTTTATTATTCTAAATTGGAAAAAGTAATAATATGCATTATATACACACGAGGCTTGTTATAGGTGACGTAGCCTAAGAGGCAGAGGACGATAGCGGACGTGACAAGAGCAGCCCACCATGTGAACAGAAACATGAGGATAAAAGACAAGAAAGAAGCAAACAGAGACGTCCATGGATTGAAGTAACGGAACTCCGGCCGCCAGCCTGCAAACGACAAACACAAATATTAGACACAAATTATGGACCAAATCACTGTTGACATATTTTAACCCCATTTTCAGTCCCTCAAAGAGCCATGATTAACTTTATCTCACCAGGTGATCTGGTGACCGTCGCATGGAAGCAGCTAAAGTTAATGAGGCCGTAAGAGCAGAGGAAGAAGTTGGAGATCAGAGGAGCGATTGTGTTCAGATCACCTGAAAAGACCAATATGACACCAAATGTTAAAGCGTCCGCAGAGAGAAACACCTCAGTAACTGATCTGGAGGACTCACCGATGAGGATGAAAGCCAAAGCGATGGTAAACATGAGCATGTATCCTCGTAAAGGCTCGTTGTTTTTACCATAACCTTTCCCGAAGAAGCCAATGTAGGGGTAGATGTTATCCTTACACAAACACTGTGTGAAAACACACATAAAATGTCACAATCGACTGTTTTCGGGATAAACAACTTTATCATTAAACTGTCACATCCTCTACCTGAAAAATTTTGGGTGCAGACACTAAGAATCCCAGCGCTGATGACAAGGTGGCGGCAAAGATCCCGATGGTAATCAAATGGCCAGATCCTGAAACAGTGGTAAGAACCTGGAGAAAAACAGCCTTAGTTATCCATCCATCCATCCAATCATCTATCGACTAAGCCATCCATCTATCTATCCATCCATCCAGCCAGCCAGACATACTTTCATCCATCCATTCATCATCAATCGATCTATCTGTCCATTCAGCCATCAGTCCATTTATCCATCCATCTATCCATTCATCCATCCATCACAGTAAAATCCCTGTGCTAAATTATAATTTTTATGTAAACCACTAGCAGAGTGTTAAAAGTTACACTAAAGCGGTATTATTTAGATTATTATTAAGCGATTGAGTGAGTGACGATTGAACATTATTCTAGACAACTGATGATAGCAAACAGAATCCCTGAAGAAAAGAGAAACACAAGAACTACAACTGACATCAAGCCGCAGCCATAAATCAAATCAACTGAAGATAAAAGATTTCGAGATCTCAACAAAGGATTGAACAACGCCACAGACAGCATCACCAGATTCACATACCAACCAAGACAACAGAGGTTTAGATGTTGAGAATAGTTTGGTTTAGAGTTAGTCAGTTTGCCTCTTGATATTTCAACATTAGTTTTTCTCTTTCTGTTGTAACTGTGTTTGTTATGCCAAGAACGAAATACTTTTTAATAGTTGTACTTAACATTAAAGGGGAAATGAAGCAGTGAATCAAGTTTACATGATTTACAAGATGGATTTCCAATGTAATCAACAATTATATAAGGAACATTACAAATGTAAACATTTAGAAGAAAAAAAGAAAAAAACTTTGTATCTTTCGCCGCCAGGGCGCCACCATTGTGCAGTTGAGGTCACGGGGTTGGTTGGCTTAAGTTTAACAGGCTCTGGGCATTGAAAATCGCGACATCAAACTGTGTTTACACCAGTGTTTTGACCGCGAACGACTAATGTTAGGTACAGATATTAGACAAAAAGACGACGTCTCATGTTATATGTTGACAAACTGCACATAGAAACATTGTTCGCGATGTCTGCCGTCAGATATTCCCGTCTCGTCAATAACATGTAAGTTAGCACGTTTTTGTTAAAGGGGAAATGAAACGTCCATATTTTCGCACTGGTAGTGCTAGTAACGTTAGCTACAGCCTACATATACTAGGAAAAAGTGTCTCCGCTCTGACATCCTTCAGGGAAAGCATCGCCGCTTCCACACGTCTAACTCCCAGCACAACATGGTAAACGTGCGCGCCGGTGATGCAGAATTGACCACGCAACACATGCTCAAGATCAACCTCTTGACAACAGATGGACTCTGACAACATGACTCAGGGCATCGCAGGACAACAGCCACACTGACACCTGGTAAGTTAGCGTTGCAAACCCGCTCTCCGCCCCAAACCACCACTGATTGTTCTACACAGCAACGTAACTTACATGGTGTTGACGAGACGGGAATATCTGACGGCAGACATCGCGAACAATGTTTCTATGTGCAGTTTGTCAACATATAACTTGAGACGTTGTCTTTTTGTCTAATGACTGTACCTAACATTAGTCGTTCGCGGTCAAATCTCTGGTATAAAAACAGTTTGATGTCGCGATTTTCAATGCCCAGAGCCTGTTAAACTTGAGCCAACCAACTCCGTGACGTCAACTGCACAATGGCGGCGCCCTGGCGGCGAAAGATACAAAGTTTTTTCTTTTTTTCTTCTAAATGTTTACATTTGTAATGTTTCTTATATAATTGTTGATTATATTGGAAATCCATCTTGTAAATCATGCAAACTTGATTCACCGCTTCATTTCCCCTTTAACAGCATTGTACTAGACACAACAAATATGAGCAGCAGCAATGCCAAGGTCATGGGTTTGATTCCCAAATAATATACTGTATATACTGATAAAACCCATTTAAAAATGTAGTATCAATTCTCATTTTGTTAAATGCATTAATTTGAATGTAAAATCTACCCCACTTTCCAGAAGTCAGAGTTCACTAAACGTAAAAATTGTGCTAACAGGGCTGGAAGGCTCACCTGGAAGTTGTTTGCCAGTCCAGAGCTACATGTGTAGTTCTGTTCACAGCGGTCAAAGTTCCAGCCAAATTTACAGCCCAGACCGGTGCAGTGGATCGAAGAATTAGACAGCGCTAAACTATCATTCACATTGCCAGAAGCGTCTCTTACAACAGTTGAAGCTGAGGAGGAAGAGGATGTGCTTCAGTAAGGAGAAAGGATCACCAATAAGACGCACATTTCACTAATTGAATGAGTTTAAGATACAAAACTGAGCAGTAAAAATGTCTAATCTCACCACATGTGATTGCAATAAATAAATAGCTCAAGGTGGTCCAGAATATGGCCATCAGTGTCCCTTTAGGAATCCCACCTGTTGGATCCTGGAAAAACGACGACAAACACGCAGAATTTCTTTAACGATTTAAGGCACACTGACTTTCCTTTAATACACGCTCTACTCCTGAAAAAAAAAGATTACCTTGAGATCTCCACAGATGTTGACACCAGACAGAATTCCTGTGGCAGAAGGGAAGAAGATGGAAAACATCCTGAAGAAAGATCCATCTTTACCCCGGAAGGAAGGCAGCAGATTTGATAAGAAAATTTCAGCTGGAAGTATAAAAACTGTGGTTAGGTTTATCTGTACCTTCACCAAACGCTCTAGCTGTGACAATAACAATGACTTTGACAAAAGAAGACCTTTGTCAGATCTGCTTTCTCAGTCTTGTGCTCTGTGGGACTTTTATGTTGTAGTTTCTCAGTGACTACGTTTACATGCAGCCAATTTTCGGGTTATGGTCGGGTTAAGGTCACTATTCGGGTTTCTGAAACATTAGGAATAACCCGTTTACATGCGTGAGCAGAGAGTTTCTCCGGTACATGGAATTGCAATATCCCGATGTAAACGGCGACGCGCGGTTAGCGTCTAGACGTACAAACAACCTTAAGACGCAAAATGCGTCATTTCCGATTCTTCTTCCTGTATCCAAAGACAACAACAACAGCAGCATGCAGGTAATGAATAGTTCGGGGCAGATAGCGATCGCCTTTGTTTGTGCTTAGATGCTGGTAACGTTACTGACCTCGCTCCAAAAGTATGCTATGCTGTGTCTCGCCATGTTTACTTCCGGTATACTGCACACGGATTTTTGTATGCGCCGAGAAGTTTCTCTACTCAAAAGACCAAGATTCCTTGCGAATAGAACATGCGCCGAACACAAATCACTATGGGGATATGCCGATATGCGTTTACATGACCAAAAATTTGCTTTAGAAAAGGGGTACCCCAGGTATAATATCCCGGTTTTTAAAATCCAGGATATGAGCATATTCGGGTTTTTGCCGGTGTTTACATGGCTGTTCGCGACCGGGTTATTGCTAATATCCCAGTTTTGAACGGGTTATTGGCTGCATCCCAGATAGCAAACTGACATTGAATCAACGTGGAAACATGACATCGAAACGTTGATCTGACATTGTTTTGCTCATCGAATTAACGTTGAACCAACGTCAGACGCGTCATTCTTTCAAAACGGAAAATCAACTTGAAATCAACGTTGTTTCAACGTTATGAAAGCAAACCAATTTTCGATTTTCATTTAGCTTTGAAGAATGCCGCGTCTGACGTTAGTTCAGCGTTAATTCGATGAGCAAAATCAACGTTGTTTCGATGTCAGGAGAGACGTCGTTTCCACGTTGATTCAATGTCAGTTTGCTGTCTGGGATGTAAACGCAGTCATTGTCTAGTTTCTGTGTTCATTCATGTGTCCGTTTTCCTGAGGCCAGGTTTTAGTTTTGTAGTCTTTTCCATTTTCATTAGTCTGCTCCAGTTGTGTCATTGCGATGCGTCGATGACGCTTTGGGAACGACGTCTGCGTGACTGCGTATGAAGCATCTATGTCAGCTTGTCCAATGAAAGGAACGAACGTCACCCTCAGCAAGCGATCTGTGTCAAACCTGTTTGTTATATTATGTCTGTTGGAACGTTTAGATTATAGCGAAACCGCTTTACAAACTCTGTGCTTCTCTCTGCCCGCGTTATTTAACGGGTAGGGACACACTAGCTTTGAGTAGTTTGTTTGGGGGTGGAGTATGCGGTTTGAGCCTTTGAGAGGAAAGCATCGTGAGAAGCTCTGCTCCTGCCTGCCCCTTTTTGAGGAAAGTGGCCAAGCTCGTGCTCCTCAGGGTGCCGGACCCGCTTCTGCCGAGGCAGAGTCACTTTCAATAACTTTTATTTGTTTTGTTGTCTCGGGACAAAATATCGACTCCCCAAATTATAAACAAATGTTTACTGGATGCCTGCATTAGATCTGGATCTTGTTTACTCACCCTGGTAGCCGAAAAATCCCACAGCCTGCTTCTCTGGGGTGGGGGGAAGGATCGTCCCAACAAAATAATTAGCCAAGGAGAGCAAGAGCGCAATGAAGAACAGGATCTGAGCCTGTGGTGGAGCGAAAACCAAGAAGAACAAATGGTAGTCATGCCATCAAGTGTTGGGAAATGAGCAAAGACAGGAGCAGAGGACCGTACCTTTGCCTCCCAACTCATGCCAGCAAACGTGATGCAGAGCAGGATGACGATAGTTATCGTCCCAATAATTCTCACGTCATTGACATCATCCACTATCTGAGCATCATTTTCCTGAGAAGAGAGAAAACGATTGTGAGGGAGATAAAAACAGCGGGACTGAGAATTAGATTTAGTAATTACTTACTGTTCTTTATGCAAAATGTAATTTCTTGCATTCATTTATAGGGTTGGGTATCGTTTAAATTTGAACGATTCCGATTCCTTGTTTCGATTCCGGTTCCTAACGATTCTCGATTCCGATTCTTCTAAGAGGCAGGGTCAAAAAAGTTTAGCTAACCTTGCTAACCAACGGCCTTTCTGAAGGAAATACTCCTTCTGTAAAAATACTCCTTTTGTCACAAATTTTGCATTTTGCCGAGATTTCGTTATTTTTAGAAAAGTGAAGCCACACTTTGGATCGCCGACGTAAGGTACTCATGTTCGACTCGCGTGGTTATGCCAACACTTCCGGTAGACGCTTCTTCGTTGGTGTTGTTCCGCTCGGCGGACTGTGAATATCGAAACTAGGAATCGAAATTTTAACTTTTGAACGATTCCGGGAAAAACGAAAAGTTAGTCTCGGTTCCAATCGATACTCGATTCTCGATACCCAACCCTATTCATTTATGAACAATTTTCTTTTCTCACATCTTTCTTCATTGAAAAAATGGACGGTGTTTGGTAAAATATTGATCTTTTTACTGTTTTTTTTCAAGCAGCTTTCTGCAATTCCTGAAACCCAACAATACATTCAATAATTTGTAAGTGTGTCTCACTTTAAGAACATCTCTGACGGTCTCTGCAAACCCCACTGTGTTGAGCGAACAGGCGAGAGCGTTGGCGAAGGCGAAGAGCAATCCGATGGGCGCTCCGAGCTCCGGACCCAGACTCCGAGAGATCATGAAGTACGTGCCACCTGGAGAAAAGATCACAAAAATATCCCTAAGTTTGGTTTAACACGAATAAAAATGATGCATTTCTTCCACATTTTTATTCTCAGGTGAAATAACACAGTCTCATGAAAATTCGTAACTATTTTATGTTTTGAGGAATTGGTGGCTTATCCTTATGAATTCATTTGATCTCTTTAAAACATGTTGCTTTCTCATGGTAAATAATTGATTTGACTCACCAGAGTAGATCTTCCCATTGGTGGAGATTGCAGACACTGACGTCGCTGTGATCGTTGTGATGGTGACGGACATCAGGATAATGACGTAGGTCAGAACTACAAGCAAAAAGGCTAAATTTAAGGAATTCCTGGGGCACGTATGTTAAATGTTTGTAAAAGTGGTCTATCCCTGAGAGAGGAAATTTACTGTTTAATAGGCATTGGATGATGAAAAGTGTAAAGTTTGGGTATGAACTAAATAAAATAAACCAGAAGGATTGACTCACTGATTCCGGCTTGAGACGTGATCCACGGCAGCCGCAGGAACATAATGACTCCCCAGATGTTCAACATACAGCGAATCTGAAATAAATAGATTATGACCATTTGAGAGAAATGTACTTTATTATTTTGTTTGACAATAGAGTGAAAATTGACTTGAAATTCATCCATATTTAGTCAGTTTAGAGGTATAAAATGAGTGTGAAGAATATTTTGGGTTTGAGAGGACACAGTGAGACGAGACATTGGGAGAGTATTGAATCACCCAAAGGTACCCCAGAGGAAACATTTCAGAGAAGTGGGAGAGGTAAACATTAGCAGGAGAAACTTCTTGAGATGTTAAAGAGATCAAATATGATTCATGTTTTCTCACCATGACTCCCAGAACCCATCCAAAGCGAACGAGTTTGACTTTGGGCCGGTCATCATCCTCTGGTGGTGGAGGAAGATCATCAGGATCCGGCTGTTGACCAAAACATAGAAAATCAAAACCAAAACTCAAAGTGTTGACATCCAAACAATATGTACAATATTAATTTAGATTCAATTAGATGGGGTATTTTTTTTCATTCAAATAAGCACATACTGGTTTGCGCAGAACATCCAGTGATGGTCTGGTGTTTTTTATACGTCCTGTCCACGTGTCTTTAGCGTAATATTCATATTTTGGCAAGGGGTCAAGTGGATTGAAGAATGACATTTTTCTCTTGTCCATGTCCTTCCCATAATCAAACTCTCCCATATCCACGCTAACACCTTGAGACGGGACATTGGTGTCCGTGCGCCGCAGACCCGGGATCAAGTTTCTGATATTTTTGACCATCCTGTGGTACTTTTGCCTTAGATTGCCTAAATCCTTGTGAAGATCATACAATTGTCCTTCAGATCCACAGAAATCACACCGGACGACCACAGTGCCGAGTCATTCCACGCATCCAGCGAGCCGAGTGGACTTGAACTGACCTTCATCTGCTGTCAGAAAAATGATTTGCGTTTTCTTTTATACCTTAATTGAGCCAACTTGCATACACCCACACAAACATTGTTTCAAAAGCATGATTGGTGGTTATATTGTTTTCTCAAGCAATCTATGAAATCTCGTTTGGAAAATTATCAACGGGCTGGTATCACATAGATCTGCCAAAAGCTAAACTCTTAATTAGTCATGTAGAAAAAAGTTGATTAATACAAAACTAGCCAACATTACAAGCAAGAAGCAACGCAAACACTGAAGTTTGGACATCTGAAGATAAGATCTCCTTCACCCAAAGTCACCATCATAAATGAAAAGATTACAGATCATGTTGATGTGCAGACACTTGATTGAGTGCATTTGGGTACATTTGAGTGTTGGAACTTGGACGTGAAGAAGATTTGAAAACTTGGTAAGTCTCACTTACCCACATTACAATACGTCTGTAGAGGGCAACATGCACTTTGAAAAACATTTAGAGCGTAGGCTACTTTATCTTTGCTAGTGTGGGATATTTCATTTTTGACAGGATTGAACGAAGCTGACTAGTGTGTTCATTAACAACATGCTAATTGTTGAGATGACAAAACATTTTTTTCCCCCCAAAAAAACGTTTAGCAGACATAATATCCATAAAACAAGTTACAATTAAATAGTGAAAATCACTTGTGATCATAATCTAGGACCTTTATACAGTGCATGTCTACTGTATCTCTCATGGTCATTGTAAGTTATTGGGCATTGAAGCAACAGCTCAGCTGCATACTTTTTCATACACAGGCAGGCGTGCTTCTCAGAATATTAATACATCTAAAACAAATAAACTCCATTTATTTCAGCAGTGTGAAATAAAAACCATTCAGGATTCTGAAAGGGTTGACCAAGCTAGGAAAATGAGATTTAAAAGAGTTCAGTAATGTCTCAAACTATGTTCAGGTTTGTCTAGACTCCAAAATTCAAAAGTCAGTCATCTCAAAATGATCTGAGCAGCACACCATTTTTTAATCTAATTATTTAAAATCATAAGGATCATCAGAATCATTAAAGATTTCAAATTATCAAAATAATCATAAAGAAAAAAAAGTGCGGCCAATTGAGATCACATGGAAGAAACTGAGCCATGCAGGGGAGGCTGCTGGTCAATATGTACAGAGCACAATCTGATAATATTGTAGCCTCATAAATCATTTACGTTTAAAATTTAAGAATCATAATTTGAGGTTGAACAAACACACTTGCTAATTATTAATAAACCTGAGTGTGTGTTTTAGGTTAGCAGCCCCAAAAGTCACACTTCAAAAATGTATGCATGTCATTTTATTAAAAGCTCAAATGTTTTCAGTGCCTTTGAATCAACTGTTGTTTTACATTTAAATTTATGCATTTTTCAGGCGCTTTTATCCTAAGAAAAGAATATACTCACTTGCAATATATTCTGTTTAATATGTGTTGTGATCGAGACTGTACAGCATTAATGTATTTTACCAGTTTTTTTATCACTTGGACAATCAGTTTAAATGAAAATGTTCACCATTGTACAAAATTGTACAGTATGTTTTACATTGAAAAGATCATATTTATAATTATACAAATTTGTAACAACAACCTAATAATTTACCATTCATATACATTCAAAATGTAACATTTTTATATGATTATTATTGTGTCTATTATTATGGCATGAAACACTTATATTCTACTTTGAAATGAAAGTCCTGAGATAAATGACTTCCCTCCACCAGCATACAGTAACTCTAGTATATTCTGTGCAGCCGACTCTGACCTGACGTCCTTGAAGATTATACAAACATACGAACATGTGATATACACATACATTGTAATAGAATCATTGTACAAGAGCTCATTTCAGTTCAACAGGTCAAATTCATAACAAGTCTTAAAATCTCTACATGACTGAAACTGACAGCAGCTTCACCTGCAGGAATAATTGCGTTTAATGATGAACTCAGGTTAATGTGAGTGTTTTATTGGCAGTAGAAGGTCATGACATTCTCTTGGTTTCCTCGTATGAGCAGCGTGGGACAGTGGATGCCGTAGCTCAGCGCTTCCACCCAGGCCATATAGAGAGAACTGGGACAGTTGACGTCAGGGACTGGAAGAGAACTGAAACACACACACATTCTGTTTAGAGCTGTTATCAGTAGGGTTGGGTATCGTTTGAATTTGAACGATTCTGATTCCAATTCCGATTCCTTGTTTTGATTCCGGTTCCTAACGATTCTCGATTCCGATTCTTTTAAGAGGCAGGGTCAAAAAAGTTTAGCTAACCTTGCTAACCAACGGTCTTTCTGAAGGAAATAATCCTTTCTGAAGGAAATACTCCTTTTGTCACAAATTTTGCATTTTGCCGAGATTTCGTTAATTTTTAGAAAAGTGAAGCCACACTTTGGACCGCCGACGTAAGCTACTCATGTTCGACTCGCGCGGTTATGCCAACCGTTCTTCGTTGGTGTTGTTCAGCGGTTTCTTCTTCCGCTCGGCGGACTGTGAATATCGAAACTAGGAATCGAAATTTTAAATTTTGAACGATTCCGGGAAAAACGAAAAGTTAGTCCCGGTTCCAATCGATACTCGATTCTCGATACCCAACCCTAGTTATCAGGCATAAATTGCCTGGCAACGATGGCCATGTTAGTTTAGCGAGTTAAGAAGCCTCAATCGCTTTTGCTTTTGTTCTCGAAGTCCCCAAATTATGACCTATTGCTTGTGATGTCACTCATTTGTGAATCACTTGGGATTAATACATGAAAATGACGTATCCTATGGGATTGCTGTGACTAGCAATACTCACATTACAACCAAAGCCGCGGGGATGGAGTTCCTCTTGATGATCTCATTGAGTCTCACCGACCTCTCCACCTGAAAATAAAAGACAGTCAAATGGAGGGTCTGCTGGATCGTACTCGTGTTTAAAACAACACACACCAGCAAGCACACACACCTTGGGTTTTATGGCCTCCAGGTCTTTGTCAGAAACTTTCCATGGACTCAGTCTCTTGAGCTCATGTACGTCTCCTCCAGCCTGTTCTTCACTCAGCACGAAGGGGGCGATGTTATCCTCGTACCGCTGCCAACTACAGGAACAGAGAGGAAGAAGAATTTTAATATACTGTACATTATTACAGCTCCTCTATTCCCGGTGTGTCTGAAATATGCTGATTTCTTCAAAGCCCCTCCTTCTGAAAAGCTCAGAGTGCTTTGATTGGCCAGCTGACCCATTACACTGTGATTGGACAAACACCTCCAGTGTGCATCGGAAACAGGCCTCGCCATTATCACTAGCTGAGTAAATGCGCAGTTAAAATGAATGTTGTTAATTAGACTTTTTCAGTTCAAGCTCCAGTCAGATTCTGAAAATGATCTAGCTAATTGATTGGTACCCAAATTTTAAGTTGAGCCCCTCCAGTCCTACTCGCCCAGCTCCAAACGGGACTCGAACAGGAGTCTCCGACATGGGATATGGGTGCGCTAACAAGGACGCAAACAACGGCACCTCTTGATATCAGGGGAGTGAGGATTACTCTCACAGTTCTTACTAGCCTACGTTAGACTCACCCCCTAAACCTCACTCCCATCCGGGTCACGGCACCACTGTAACCCCTCCGGTCCTACTCACCCGGCTCCAAGCGGGACTCGAACCAACGTCTCTGGCATGGAAAGCAGGCGTGCTAACCACGAGGATGCTAAAGACTACAGTGTCAGTCGTTAGTGCTCCTCTTGAGATCAGGGGAGTGAGGATTACTCTCATAGTTCTTACTAGCCTAAGTTAGACTCACCCCCTAAAACTCACTCCCATCCGGGTCACGGCACCACTGTAACCCCTCCGGACCAACTCACCCGGCTCCAAGCGGGATTCGAACTAGCGTCTCTGGCATGGAAAGCAGACGTGCTAACCACGAGGACGCTAAAGACACCACTGTAAGTCGCTAGTGCTCCTCTTGAGATCTGGGGATTACTCTCACAGCTCTTACTAGCCTAAACCTCACTCCCATCCGGGTCACGGCACCACTGTAACCCCTCCGGACCAACTCTCCTGGCTCCAAGCGGGACTAGAACTAGCATCTCTGGCATGGAAAGCAGACGTGCTAACCACGAGGACGCTAAAGACACCACTGTAAGTCGCTAGTGCTCCTCTTGAGATCAGGGGATTACTCTCACAGCTCTTACTAGCCTACGTTAGACTCACCCCCTTAACCTCACTCCCATCCGGGTCATGGCACCACTGTAACCCCTCCGGACCAACTCACCTGGCTTCAAGCGGGATTCGAACCAGCGTCTCTGGCATGGAAAGCAGACGTGCTAACCACGAGGACGCTAAAGACACCACTGTAAGTCGCTAGTGCTCCTCTTGAGATCAGGGGATTACTCTCACAGCTCTTACTAGCCTAAACCTCACTCCCATCCGGGTCACGGCACCACTGTAACCCCATCCGGACCAAATCACCTGGCTTCAAGCAGGACTCGAACCAGCGTCTCTGGCATGGAAAGCAGACGTGCTAACCACGAGGATGCTAAAGACACCACTGTAAGTCGCTAGTGCATTATGCTAATTTTTCACATTGTGACATGGACTTTTGAGGGAGTGATATCTGGACTTCGATCAAGGCGTTTTATGCAGGTTTTATTCTTTGTTAGATAGAATAAATCCCTTTGTGGGAGACGTAGTTACATTGTAGATAATATACAAACATAGACAGATCCATTACACACTAAAGTTCATTTGACCCCTTTAATAAATACTATAATAGTCACCAAACAGTAAGTAGTAAGTAGGATGTTTCCGATAGCACATGAAGGCAGCATTACTACAAACCTGAACGTTTTTGTTCATGTTTATGTGGGAACATTTCTCACTTTTTAGCCAGAGGAGCTTTATCCACGTCTGTTATCACGACGATGTCCTCGAACTCCAGCCGGAATCTCTTCAACAGCATCTTCATACTGGAATGAGAGCAACCATTTAAAGAACCACTGTTTCTGCATATCAAAACTAGTAACAGATGATGATGATATATCGATCCACTCACTCTTTGCGGTCTTCCTTCATGGTCTCCTGGTCTCCTAAGATAAACACTCTGATTTTGCACTTTTTCCAGCGGTTTCTTCTGGTCAACAAATATGGCACTAAAAGAGTCAGACCTGAAAGAGAGCAACATCATTCATAATAAGAAAATAGGGAGTGCAAACGGAAAGTGCTGTAGGTTTATCAGACTTTCTTGAGCTTTACCAAGACCAAACCATGTTCGCAGACTGAGCCAGTTTGGAACTTTTTTTTTCCCCACTGTGAGTTTAAGTAACATTCAAGCAGTCGTATATCTCACCTCCATCATCAGAGATCCAGTAGATGTCAATGGTCTTCCTGCCCTGTTTCGTCTGAAAAACCGACCTGACTTGATCGGTCGAGCCATCGTCTGAAATATCTGGATGGTGAGTCAAAAAAGGAGGTGAGACGTGCGTAAAAAACATTTACATCACACTAACAAAAAGTTAGTGCACCCTGTCTACAATGCAGTTTTGCTGATTATAACAGGACTTCTCTGATTGACTGACTGAGTGATGACATCAGGATATCAATTTAAATTAAATGTAAAACATTCTCTCTATTTCCATGGCGACACATCAAGCTTGTCATGTGACACTTCACATGCAGTCAAATTGTATATGAACGTTTATTTTCGTAAATTTTTTACCAAGTATAAATATACTACATCTGTATATTTAATCGTCTGAAACTTAGAGTGGGATTGTTCTGATTATCAATTGCAGATGATCTGCCACCAAAAAAAGACTTCAAGTTTGTTTGTCACCTGAATTCCGGTCTGTCTCATCTTGTTCGGTTTGCGGGACTTCGTCTGCATCGAATGCCAGATTATCAATTGCAGATGATCTGCCTGCTGCTCAAAACAGATCCACGTCAAACTTTGTTTTATGATTTAAACTGCAGCACCAATGCATTTCTCAATCATTATACTGTACAAAACACCAACACATTCTCATCCTTTGGCGTCATTTTAGTGACGCCATATGACATTTTGTCGAAATACTACACACATGGCACATTTAGCGTCAATACAACACACACTGTTATGGGTAGGTTTAGGTCTGGGGTAGGGTAGGGTCTGCGTCTCATATTGACGCTAAAGGATGCCACTCATCTATGAAGCCTTGGGTTCTGCGTGTTATGTTGACGCTAAAGGGTGCCATGTGCGTAGTATTTCGAAGAAATGTCATATGGCGTCACCTATATGATGCCAAAGGATGAGAACAGGCACAGTACACACCTGAACTCTGCGAAACATCCATAACGTCCAATCCATCCATCATTCTCAGAATTGCAAGGCCGTAGTTGGAGTCAAACGCATCGCTAAACAAAAAACATGAAACAACGTCAATATACAAAGAACTGCATGACAAATAAACTTGATGTTTGTGAACAAAAGCACCATCTGAACACACCTGATGGTGTTGACGTAGTCCTGTAAACTCTCAGGTTTACATTCCTTCCAGTTCGTCTTGTATCCCATAACGAGGGTGTTCGGCTTCAGTTTACCAAGACCTGAAGCCTAGAAAGATGATTGAGTCTTTGAGAAGGACGTAATGAGGAGAAGAAAAAGGTGTTAGAAGAGATTAGAGACGGTCTTACCTGCATGAGATTGGACGCGCCCTCTTTCAGATTGTCGGCATTGAAGGACGTGTAGAAAGAACGAACCTTCCTCTTATTCAGCCAGTCCACCAGCATATCGGTGCTCTGCTGCGGAAAACTGGACTTCTCGTCCTCCTGAAAGCACGAGAGTGCAATAAAGCCACGACACCTTCACATCATGAATAAGACGTTTGGTGAAATCAAGGTGATCTGATCGTGTCAGTCAGGTTTTTTGTAAATCCAGGGCCAGTACTGTGCTTGTTTACTCATACTCGTACTCATGAAAATGCTACGATACCAACAACCAGTGTTGTAGTACTCGAGACTCGGTCTCGAGGCCATATTTTAATGGTCTTGGTCTTGTCATGGACTCGTGTGCATTTGGACTCGGAATTGACTCGTACTCAAACATTTTTTTTTTTTAGGTCTCGGACTTATTCCCGAGTCCACTCGAGTTCAATTCAAAATATTTTTCATGATTATTAATGTATGTTAATAAAATATTTCTTTAAATTGATTGACGCCCAGTGATTGGTGATTTTCTAGTGTGCAACTGCGCATGACAAATTGTAATAAAATTACTTTTAACACCACCTACTATGTGGCCTTTTTACCCTAAACTGATCATATTTTTTTAACTCTAAGTAAATTCAGTATATAAAAAAAGGATTTCTCTAAGTAAATAAAAGTAAATTAGGTAATCAACCCTCACTGGTCTCGGTCTCGACTCGGACTCGACTCGGACTCGACTCTCTATGGACTCGGTCTTGACTCGGACTCGAGTGAGGTGGTCTCGACTACAACACTGCCAACAACCAATAATATACAATGCTTCTGACAAAGAAACAACAGGGCAAACAGAGAGCTGAGTGGGAGGAGGAGCATATTACTAACGTTAACCAACGGTAGAGAGAGAGAGAGATAGAGAGAGAGAGCGCACTTCTTCTGGTGAATGCTCTTGATTGCTGATTGCTCACTCAGTTCAAAACGAAATCGTATGTACAAGTAAAACTTGAACTTTTACATGATTTATGGATAAAGAGTGGTTCCATACTTTACAACAGAATGCGGTATTGACGTTTTCAAGAAGTTTTCTTTGCGCAACATCCAAAGTGTATGGCCATAAATCTGCCTTTCTGACAATGCGCAAATAGCCCGTTAAATCTTCTTTTTCATGTCTTGAGTTTGAACAAAAATTCAAACAAAATTCTGTCAAAATGCCTGTATAGGCAAGTATCCTTGTGAAACAGTCACTTATGTCTTAAGTGAACGTGAACAGTTCAGAAAAAAAAGACGTGTGTGTAACAGTATGTTAGATACGTGCATCTCTTAAAGTGACAGCAGCCTTATAAACATGCTGCTGTCTTTGTCCTCAATGCTTCATCTGACAAAGAAAAGACAAAGAGAAAATCACTCACTGCTCTTGACTGGTTGAGCCTTGCTGGAGCAGCTCTAAATATTCACTGTGCTATTAAATTAAAGATACAATTGATAGAGGGTCCATCGCTCAGAATTTTGATGGGCATGCATATATGAATCAAACCAGGATCTTTTATTAATAAAGTAAATAGCTTCAACCCATTTGCGTGATCTTTCATATCATAGACTTTTCGGTGTAAGATTGTGCCTCAAAAATGGCCCAGCTCCGGTTCTTACCATGATGATGTTCCCACAGATCATCAGGCAGATGCATTTGGTGAAAGTGCCCACAAAGTCCACCAGAGCGGGACGGGTGTTCGGAGGGCCGGTCAGAACGAGACACTGAGGCCTATGAGAGAGTTTATCATGAGCGGCTGGTGTTGTATTGTGATCAGATCAGATTGGTAACATTTACTTTTACAGTCTCACCTGTAGTTTTTGACGTGATCACTTATACCAGTCAGAGACATCGAGAAGGATAAAGCCATGTTGTAGAAACTGGACTGATAAGACGAGCCCCAGTTAACCCCTGGACACACGAAAATACATTAGTCAATGTGTTCAAATAACCGAACATAAATAATGTTTTGATGATCATAAGTGGAAAATGAAAGTCAAAATCTGCAACATATTGGGTGATTGAAAGCAAACCAGAGAAACAAGGTTACTCACGAGGCTTTGTATAGGAAACATAACCTATGAGGAAGAAGACGATACCGGACGTGACAAGAGCGTACCACCATGTGAACAGAAACATGAGGAGAAAAGACAAGAAAGAACCAAAGAGAGACGTCCATGGACTGAAGAAACGGTACTCTGGCCGCCAGCCTGCGAGACACAGATGACAAAACAGGAATATTAGACACACAGAAGAGCTGTTCTCAAAAAGAGATTCAGAATGACTTAAAATATAGAAATCAATATATTTCTTACTTTAGGGTTAGGGTTATTTCACCCCCCAACAACTGTTCGTTTTCTATTTATTTGAAAACAGAATTCACCATTTTAAACCTTATTTTTAATATCCTACAGAGCAACAATTAACTTATAGATTAACATTTACATCCATTTATTAATAATCACAGACTGATCTCATGAAATTGCGTGTGTATGACACACCAATTCGTATTTCCATTTTTGGCGTGCTCTCAACACGCATAATCGCTTTTCAGCGTGTTTATGAACGCCGTTGACTAAACGTTATTACTGTAGTGTATATATAAATATATGACCTACCTCAAACCCGTCACTAAACCTACCCGTCACTGGAGTTAATAGCATTTATGAGTCTTCCCCTAACATCCTAGGAGAAAAATATCGCTCCCCAGATGTAGATCTACATTTTTCTTCATTTCGCTCGGACATTTAAAGGCGTGTACATACACGCGGAATCACTCGGACATTAATGGCGTAGACATACACGCATACATGCGGACACACGTGGATAGCTCAAAATGCGTATAGATAACATGCCAATTGACTTGAAAGTGGCGTGTATGTTGCTAATCGAATTACAATGAATAAAGTTAAAAAGTATGACCTTGAGCAGAGCATATTGTGTTAAATGTCTTTTTAATAAAAACATTTTGTTAAATAGTCCCTTCGAGTTAAAAAAGAAGATATATATATATATATATATATATATATATATATATACACACATTAGGGGTGTAACGGTTCACAAAATTCACGGTTCGGTTCGATATAATTAATGGTTCTGTTAATACGATCAATACGATTAATAATCTGCGTTATTTTTTTTACGCATTATTTTTTCTCAGATTAATTAATCGATATACAACGTAGTTGTTCAGTGACTGTTGCCTCCATAAGCCCCGTTCACACTACAAGCGACTAAGCGCCACGTTACCATTCATTTCAATGGGTTGTGGGCGACTTCCGGCGACAGCGACCGGTGGGGCGTGTCCAGCGACGCGACAAAGTTGAGATCTGTTTAACTTTGTGCAAATGCAGAGCGACTTTTGAGAGCAACAACCAATAGGAGTGAAGTCAGTGGAGCGTGTCACTCTTCTGACCAAGGCAAGTTGACCGAGAAGCTCATTTTAGCCGTCAGAAACTGTCCTATAATTTATGATATATCTCCGTGTACATACAGTGGTGTTCACCGTACTGACACCGTGACTGAATGGTTTTGGGAACCCAGATAGACCGGTATTTGCCTGTTTGCTGCAGTTAAATAGCCGCGATGGCAAAGAGCACTCACTGTTTCTCGTTCATCTTTAATATTATGCATTTTATGTACTGTTTCCATTTATATTTAGACTTTTCCTTCCAAAATATTTGTTTGTATCATCAATAAAACGTATTTGTTGTCTAACATAGAGTAACATCCGTGAATGTCACTCACAAACATTACTAGGCAACCAGTAGTGGGAACGCCCTCCAGCGTAGCCACTGGCAACCTACAGCGACAAAGTCGCTTGTAGTGTGAACGGGGCTATACTCTTGCAGTTTGTTCTAGCAAGCACTTCAGAATGTGGTACATGTGTAACCCCTACACCCGGGTCCCACGGGCCTCGAACCCGGGTCTCCAGCATGAGAGACAGGCGCTCTAACAAGGAGGCTAAAGCCTGCAGCCTGTCCCTAGAGCACCTATTGAGACCAGGGGAGTGAGGTTTACTCGCATAGCAACTACTAGCTGGCCTCTGTTACACTCACCCCCCTAAACCTCACTCTCATCCGGGTCACGGCACCAATGTAACCCCTCACACCCGGGTCCCACTCGACCCGCTCCGAGCGGGCCTCGAACCCGGGTCTCCGGCGTGAGAGTCGGGTGCTCTAAAGAGGTGGCTAAAGACTGCAGCCCCTAGCGTCTCCGTTACACATGGTCATAGCATGTGTTCCCCAAGATTCTGTGCAAGCACCTTATATGAAAAACGCTCCAGCAACCTTAGGTGATGGCTGTATATAACCCAGGCTTCGCAGCTGTACAGAGGAGTGGAGATGCACAGAGCTTTATAGATGGTAACTTTAGTGCCCAATTGAAGGTGCTTATTTTGAAAGACCTTACGTTGAAGTTTGTCAAAGGCTGCAGAAGCCTGCCTTATCCGATTTTGTATTTCGCAATCGAGATAGCAGTCCTCCGATACAATGCTGCCTAGATACTTAAAGGATGGCACTATTGAAAGTGGTTGTTGTTCTATGGCAAAAACAGGCATGGTTGGTGGAAGACTGATCCTCCATTGGCATATCACTTCAACTGACAGGCTCATTCTGCTATAGGTCTTCACAGCAGCATCTAAGATAATTTGCAGTTCTTCTGGGGTATGTGCCATGAACACACACACACACACACACACAGTACATTATTGATTATCTGTTCACAATTCAAAACTGATGAAAAGGATGAAGTACTCACCAGGTGATCTGGTGACCGTCGCATGGAAGCAGCTGAAGTTAATGAGGCCGTAAGAGCAGAGGAAGAAGTTGGAGATCAGAGGAGCGATTGTGTTCAGATTACCTGAAAATATCAACATAACACCAAATGTTAAAGCGTCTGCTGAGAAAAACACCTCAGTAACTGATCTGGACGAGATCCAGGACTCACCGATGAGGATGAAAGCCATTGCGATGAGGAACGCGAGACAGTACGCACGTAGAGGCTCGTTGTTTTTCCCATAACCTTTTGCGAAGAAGCCAATGAAGGGGTAGATGTTATCCTTACACAAACACTGTATGAAAACACACATACAAAAATGTTACAGTCAACTGCAGGATACCACAAAATTACATAAAATCAGTCACATCATCTACCTGGAAAATTTTCGGTGCAGACACTAAGAAACCCAGCGCTGATGACAAGGTGGCGGCAAAAACACCTATGGTGATCAAAATGCCAGATCCCGAAACAGTGGTAAGAACCTGGAGACAAAAAAAAAAAAAAAAATTAAGAGCTATTAGAAAGTCTTTTCATGCATCCAAAACTACAACCATATGGGCCGATGCACTCACACGGAAGTTGTTTGCCAGTCCAGAGCGACATGTGGAGTTCTGTGTGCAGCTGTCAAAGTTCCAGCCATATTTACAGGCCAGACCGGTGCAGGGCATCGAAAAATTCGTTAGCGCTAAACTATCGTTCACATTGCCAGAAGCGTCTCTTACAACAGTTGCAGCTGAGGAGGAAGAGAGGAAGTGATTCAGTGAGGAGAATGGATCACCAATAAGACACACATTCAATTAATTTCATAAGAGTTTATGATACAAAAAGGTGTGACGGAAAAAGGTCTGATCTTACCACATGTGATTGAGATCAGTAAATAGCTCAAGGTGGTCCACAATATGGCCAGCAGTGTCCCTTTAGGAATCCCACCCGTTGGATCCTGGAAAACCACAGGCACAGTCGTGTTTTAGGGCACTCTGACTTTCCTACTTTACACGCTCTGCCTGAAAAATGGCAATATTACCTTGAGATCTCCACAGATGTTGACACCAGAAAGAATTCCTGTAGCAGCTGGGAAAAAGATGGCGAACATCCTAAAGAAATATCCATCTACGCCTCGGAAGGAGGGCAGCAGGTTCTCCATGAAAATATCGTCTGGAAGAAGAAAAATGTTTAGATCTGGTTGTTCCAACACAAACAAACATCAAGTTGCAAGTTCAATGTTCATAGTTTGACATTTATTTCACATTTTAACAAAAAAGCTGCATGGTTAATGTATGATGACATGTGCATCAGACGTAGGCCAACTGGAGGGGCTACAGTGGTGCCGTGACCCGGATGGGAGTTAGGTTTAGGGGGTCAGTGTAACAATAGTATAGTGTGAGCTGTCCGTGTAAACCTCACTCCCCTAATCTCAAGGGGGATCCTAATATGTGGGCAGTGCAATCTCAAGGGGCTACACATGCATGAATCATGTGTTATGTTAACATTGCGGATCTGAGCTTGGTAAACAAGAGCTTTTCATCTACTGTTTATTTGTTTTGTAGCAACAGGTCGAAATAACAGCTTCCAAACTTAGAAACAACTAGATGCACTTGAAGGCAACATTAGATCTGGATCTTGTTTACTTACATTGGTAGCCGAAAAATCCTGCAGCCCGCTTAACATTGTCGGGGGGGAGAACAGTTCCAATAAAGTAGCTAGCTAAAGAGAGCATGATCGCGATGAAGAACAGGATCTGAGCCTGTGGTGGAGTGAAAACCAAGAAGAACATTCGTGTTACAAGAGGCAGTTTTGGGAAATGATGGAAAACAGGAGCAGAGGACAGTCTACCTTTGCCTCCCAACTCATGCCAGCGAATGTGATGCAGAGCAGGATGCAGACAGTAATTGCACCAATGATCCTCACGTCGTCGACATCACTCACCATCTGAGATTTATAGTCCTGAGAATAAAGAAAACGATTGTGGATGAGATTTAAACAGCGGTTAAAACTAAATAAATGTCTTTAAAAATCTATTAAATTCATGTTATTATTCCAAGTAAATTTAACTTAAAGATTTCTAATTAAAGCTACTGTTTATGTTTTTACTTAGCAAATCCTTGTAAATTCACTAGCATGTTCCGAGTGAAAAAAGTTGCCTTCAGTGTGCTCAAGTCCCTCAAGCCCTACAGTGTGTGCATGTCTCACTTTCAGAAGATCTCGGACGGTCTCTGCAAACCCCACTGTGTGGAGCGCACAGGCGAGAGCGTTGGCGAAGGCGAAGAGCAATCCGATGGGCGCTCCGAGCTCCGGACCCAGACTCCGAGAGATCATGAAGTATGTGCCGCCTGGAGATCAACAAGTCTGTTTTCACTTGCTTTGACAAGTTGGTTAGTTTAAAAAATACACCTCACTAAATGAGTTTAAGACAAATAAATACAATGCATGTCTTGGGCAATTTTGGTCACCGCGATTTTGCCAAGTAAGACTGGATCAACATTCCTGGCCCAAAATATATTCCTTACCCCTAAACGTAACTGTTCCCTAAAATCAGAGGAAAACGATGGTTAATAACACTGTTGTTTAAGTACCTCCTCACCCTGGGTCTAAGCTGAAACTTGACATAAACTGTAAACTAGTCCCTCAAATTGGTTGTTTGGAAAGTTGTTCCAGGATCAACAAAGATGTTGATCCAGGAACATGTGGTACTCGGTGAAATCACGTTCACCGGTATTTTTACACATCGCAGGTAAACTTATATTGTTTTCGGGTAGCTTACTTTTATATATTTCACTGGAAAACAAGACAAAGATTCTGATTAAACCCATTTGAAATCAAATGTTCCTGTTTTTATGGTAAACAATTAATGTGACTCACCAGACTTGACCTTCCCATTGGTGGAGATTGCAGACACTGAAGTCGCAGTGATTGTTGTGACAACAATAGACATGAAGATAATTACGTAGGTCAGAACTGCAAGCAAAAATGCACAAATGTGTCAAATGACTTTAGATAATTCTCTGAGGGAGGAAATATTAAACTGTTAAAAGGCATTTGAGAAGTTAGAAGTGATCGACTCACTGAGTCCGGCTTGAGACGTGATCCACGGCAGCCGCAGGTACATAATGACTCCCCAGATGTTCAACATACAGCGAATCTGAAACAGAACCACAGCAAACGCATCAGAGGTGTTGGATGTGAGAATATTTCAACATTATCTATACTCATACGTGAGACAATTACAGATCTGAAAAATGCTTCAGATGCTTCATGATTATGTCGATTTGAGTGAAATGTACTGATAGACTTGAGAATAGCCTACCATTTGTATTTATTACCAATGTAATTTGACTATAATGACCTGAATTATATAGGCTATAGAGGTATCAAATAAATGTGGACAGTATCTCAGAACATCAGCTTGTGTGTTTGAGTTCTCTGAGGGAGACATCTGGCTTTTAAGTATAGTTTGGGACACATTTTTTAAGGTTATATTTTTGGCCTTTTGCCTAGATAGGACAGCATGAGACAAGACTGGAAAAGCACCTCAAGGTGGGATTTAAACTCGGGTCACCTAAAGCTCTCTGATGTTCAGATCTCTGCTTTGTAGGGACAAATTGGGTCTTTTTCTCTGGAGAAGCTGGAGACGTAAAGCTTAAGCTTAGCTCGTCATTTAACGTCTAGGAGAAACTTCTTGAGATGTTCTTGAAGAGATCAAATATACGATTCCTGTTTTCTCACCATGACTCCAAGAACCCATCCAAAGCGAACGAGTTTGACTTTGGGCCGGTCATCATCCTCTGGTGGTGGAGGAAGATCATCCGGATCCGGCTGTTGACAGAAACATTGAGAATCAACACCAAATTTCTCAAAGTGTTGCCATCCAAACAATATTCGTCACGTACAATATTCGGTAACGCTTCCTTTTACAGTACACTACTTACAGTGTACTTACCTAGAAAGTACTGGCTAATATAAGGTAAGTACATGGAACAGGGGTAGGTTCAGGGTTAGTACTAGTTATTACCCAGTAATTGTAGTTATTAAAATAAATACATAGTATTTACATGGGTAACTGGACTGTAAAAGGAAGCGTTCAATAAACTCAAATATAAGTGAAATTTTCTTTCAAATAACTATTTCATTCAAATGTACTTACTGCTTTACGCAGAACATCCAGTGATGGTCTGGTCTTTTTTATACGTCCAGTGAATGTGTCGTTGGCGTAAAAGTCATATTTTGGCACGGGGTCAAGCGGATTGAAGAACGACACTTTTTTCTTGTCCAGGTCCTTCTCGTAATCACCCGCTCCCATATCCACGGTAACACCTTGAGGCGGGACATTGGTGTCCGGACGCCGCAGACCCGGGATCAAGTTTCTCATGCGATCGATATATTTGCCCATCGTGGATCCTGTGGGACTTTAAACTTTAAGAAGTCGACCTGCTTTAATCCTTGTGGAGATCACAGAACCGTTCCAACACATCGACGGAAGATCACGGCGCCGAGCCGAGTGGAGATGGACTGACCTTTCTCTGCTGTCAAGAAATGAGTTGCGTTTTCTTTTATACCTTCGTAGCACACACCCATTATTAGACGTACACAAACATTTTTGAAGAACCATGACTGGCTGTTCTTTGTATTGTGTTCTCTTGCTATCTTTGAAGTCTTCTTCAGAAATATGAATATAAACTGGTTTCCCAAGATTTCAGATCTGTCAAATGGAGTTTGTCTAGCAACAGTTCCGATGTGTGGACATCACATATCTGTCTCCAAATGTGAGCATCATGACATGATTTCAAGTTATTATTGGTCTGAAATGACCTGCATAACCCCATATGACTGGACGGGCCTGAAACTCGCCCTAAACCTGTGATTTGTTCCATGGCTTGAAGCAAGTTTAAAGTTATTGGAGAAGCAAGTGCAACATCTCAAACCTGCTCACAAAATCTTCTGGAAATAAAGAGACTCAAATGAGATATTTCAACATATTTACTGTTTCTCCAAACATTTACAAGTAATGTAAAGACTTGCTCTTCCATAGCTCATCAACTTAAGCACAAATAGTTCTCCTGAAATAAAACAGATCCAAATGAGCCACTCATTGTCATCCAGTAAGAGTATAAATTGAATGCAGAAAGCAGCTCTGATCTCTTGATGTGAAATGTTTGAGTTCATATTGAGATTTCTGATTTTTAATGGCAGACTGTGGCATCTTTGCAAACTCAATCTGAGACATTGTTGAGATCTCATCTGAAACTCTTGAGGTCTCTTTTTCAAGAAAAACATCTGACAAGTAGGAAACGTTAAAAACGTCCAAACAATAAAAGCATTGTCCAATCGCTTCAGATAGGTCAGTCTACACAACTGATTACTCAATGTTTACTTTGTTATTTTGCCCAAAACACATGCTTGAACATGTTAAACTGAGTCATTGCTAAGGTTTCTTCCTCCTAAAACATTGAAGGGAGTTTTGCATTGTGAAAAGCACTATATATAATGAAACATAATTGACTGTAAAGTTTGCATCAATGGAAAATGAGTCATTATGACAACACATAAAACTTAGTAGCAAGATCATGAACATCATGAAAATGTAATTCCATAATTTTTCAATTTGCATTAAATGTAATTTCTGAGCCTTGTTGTTAAACGCGAAAGACAATGATTTGAACCGGCAGCACCAGCATGTGTGTGTTGTCTGATATCTGCTACTTTTGCCTAGTGTTCCCATTCGTTTGTTGTGAGTACTAACATGTGAAAATGTTTTGTTGATGTGGGTTTTCTTTGGGAACGTGTTCCATACTGGGGTATTTGGTAAACACACCCACACGCCCACCTAACCAATCACATCTTAGTATGCAGGTTGTGTTTACTGAAACCATTATGCTTTTCATGAGGGCAAAATATGGATGGCCAAAGGATATGTAATTTAAAGAGTGGACATTAGCCAATCAGTTAGTGTTTTGGTCCATTCCTAGAATTTCAATTTCAAAGAGCAATAAACCTTATCCACTGTTTATACAAGTTTCATGGAACTGCATGCTATAAAGAAGTTCATAAAAGGTTATTTTATGAACAGTAAAACTTCTTACCGTGGCTTTTTTGGTCATTTATTGGGAACATTCCCATTCGGGTGGGCTTGTGTAAGTGACCTTGGGTCTCGAAATGTCATCTCTGTTAACAAGTACAAAGAATAGTAGCCTACAAACTAGAAATTAGGTGTTGATGTACAGTATGCATCTACAGAACATTTTTATAAATTATTCAATGAATTTTAAAAAATCTGAAAAAACTGCTGGTGATTAAATGCTCATTTAGTGGGCCTCAGATCTCATACACTATATTCCAGTCTTCACATTACATGGTCACATTACATACAGTTAATTTCGGTCACACGGCAATTTGTGTTTGATTTGATGTGCTTTTCAACAGTATGACATTCCTGAACTTGACCCCAAACAGAAACAACATGACTGTGCTAAATAAGAATCATCTTTCTAAAAAGTGCACGTCTACTTGTGGTAAACAGAGGAAAAATGTTCACGAAAGCTTTCGGGTTTCTGGTATTATGTAGCATTGGCGTTTCTGGAAGGTCAAAACATGTTTCATAACCTAAAGTTTGATTCTGAGCAAGATTATTCTAAAGTTAGATGGTTTTTTGTTCATTATCATCACATGGACTAAATAACATTACACTAAATGTAATGTTTAACTTTTATGAACTCTTAGAGATTTGACAATACTTAAGATATTTAAAAATGATTAAAACAAACATATCAACTTACTAACATAAAAAATAACCTACAAACTTGTTTTAATGCATGGTTGATTTTATTATATTTGTCCAATTATTTGGCCAATTATTTACTCAATACATCTGGCATATACTCGGTTTCAATAAGTGGCTATAAAAAACAGATATATATCTTTCAATGCTTAAATGTCTCTTACTTTTATAGTCATAACAAGAACGCATTATTGCGCTCTATTCTGTAAAATGTGATAATATCGACAAATGGTGTGACCAATATGAACTGGCCTATGTGCAAAAGTAAAACGTTATGTGTATAGTTTTAAAATGGTTTACATAACACAGTTAGCAAACCAGCTCTCATCGACAAACCTTTCACTCTTTCTGAAATCCCTTTAACGTGGCAAATGATAACGTCAAACATGCGGGTCCGGTTGAGCTTTTGGAAACGTGTTTTGCTGTGTTTCTGATCCACCTCTTTCTACATCTGAACAGTTTGTGTAAAACAAAAATGTAAATGTCTCAAATGAATTTTCCTTAAAATATCTAATTTATTACTGAACAGCATCTTTTCAAAATAATGCCAGAAACAAAATGTTGTATAAAATCAGGCAAATTATATATGAACAAGCCCCTCTGTAAAAACCTTCAGGAATAAAAGTGTAAAGTTTTGTGTATGTAAGCTGACGGCCTTTAAAGATATGGAATCTGCAGATAGATAAAATGCTATAAAAGATACACTTAAGTGTATTTTGGATGTTTTCTTTTCAATATAGTCTGAAAAAACACTATGAAACGCTGAAAAGCCCAAATTCTGAATTTCAAGCTTTTTTTTTCCAGCAATGACAAAAAAGGTGTTTTTGCTTGTAGTGTCTCGCCTTGAGAGACCAAAACTTTCATTTTAAGAATTGAGATATATCTTTTAATGTATTCCTGATAATCTTAAGATTATACAATACTTAAAAAAACCTTGTAACACTATCTTCTTAATAATTGTGACTTAATAATTGTAAAATAATTGTGTCCCCTCTGTAAAGGAGGCATGTCTATTGAAATTAGATCTACTGACACAAGCTATTATTAGCATGCTGTTGACTTCAGGGAATTACAGCGTACATGCGTGCTGTAAACAGAGAACGGCAGTAAGTAGAAGAATTGTTTTTCATGGAAATTACAAGAAAAAATCTTCCCAGGGAATGGGATGAACGCTGGAGAAAAGAGAAGGAGCGCAGGAAAAGGGTGATAGAAGAAGGTGGAGAGAAGTTTGAGGAAGAAAACAGGAAGCTAAAATGGATCATGTCCTACAACGACAGCAGGATAGGAATGAAAGAGAGGGCAGTGAAGGACAGCGAGTGCGATAATATGGAAGTAGATGAACTTCTACAAAGGTATCATAGACAAAGTTACCCGAGCGAGATCTTCCAGACTCTGGTGGAGATGAAGATGGAGAACATCCTCACGGATCTGATCTTGAGCACCGAGGATGGGATGAGCTTCCATGTTCACTCGCTCGTCTTGGCTGCGGTGAGCTCCCTCATCCAGCAAAAGCTCCAGGAGAGGGATGGAGATGAGAAGGAGATCTCGCTGAGATTGTGTCCCGAGGTTCATGGTTCAGGTTTGGCTGCAGTGGTGGAGTTCGCCTACACTGGAGCCATCAGCAATCTGAACAAAGACGGCATGCCACAGATTCAGACTGCAGCTTGTAGTCTTGGAGCTCCTAGAGTCCTGGAGATCACCAAAGACCAGGAAGATGGGGGTAACAGGGAAGAAAAACTGAGAAAGATCTCAGCGGAGGAGCAGTTGAAAGTTGGCCTGCAGTCCATGAAGGACTTATGGGCCAAGAGAGTGGGATGTGATATCGAACTGGTTGCAGAAGGAACGGTTTTCCAAGGTAAGACACTTTGAGACATTTTAACATCCTAAATATGACTAGATGACCCACACAAATCGTGACCATTTGTGCAAGAAAGAGTGATGCTTGCCTGTGAGTCACCGCAATGCTAGTGTTGTGGTTGGTGGCCAGGATGTTGCCATATGGTTGCTTCATTAGCCCCTTTCACATAGAAATCCTGGTACATTTTTTAGCTTTGAAAGTTTTAAAAACTTTGATTTGAACAGAAAAAAATGACAGTTGTTTGTCTCTCCATTTTGTCAGATGCTGGTCTTGACTATTATCCAGCTGTAGACAACAAGTAGTAGCTAGTCTTCAATGTGGTGATTTCACGCAGCCGCCATTTTGAAATCGAAAGTGAGAAGATCCCCAGAAGCACAGATAAACAACAATGCTTTCTGAATTATATATATATATATGTAACGGAGGCCAGCTAGTAGTTGCTGTGCGAGTAAACCTCACTCCCCGATCTAAATAGCTTGCTAGAGCTAGAGCGCCCGACACTCACGCCGGAGACCCGGGTTCGAGGCCCGCTCGGAGCGGGTCGAGTTGGACCCTGGTGTGAGAGGTTACATTGGTGCCGTGACCCGGATGAGAGTGAAGTTTAGGGGGGTGAGTGTAACGGAGGCCAGCTAGTAGTTGCTGTGCGAGTAAACCTCACTCCCCGATCTCAATAGGCGCTCTAGCGACAGACGCTAGGGGCTGCAGTCTTTAGCCTCCTTGTTAGCGCGCCTGACCCTCATGCCGGAGACCCGGGTTCGAGGCCCGCTCGGAGCGGGTCGAGTTGGACCCGGGTGTGAGGGGTTACAACTCATTTCTACGTTAAACACAATAATACATACGCCAACGTATGGGGTGGTGGCGCAGTGGTTAAGACACAAGCCTCTGGTCTGAGAGACCCGGGTTCGAATCCACTGCGAGACACCAATGTGTCCCTGAGCAAGACACTTAACCCCTAGTTGCTCCAGAGGCATGCGACTCAGACAAAATTGTACAATTGTACAAAAGCGTCAGAATTTTGTACGCGTCTAAATGAATAAATGTAAATCTCTCCTGTGATTAAAGAGTAACTAAACACTAAACCAACTTTTTTTTAGTTAATGATCTGTAAGAATGGATCTTTATTAATACCAGTCATTGATTCGAGTAACTTTTTTGGCATTTGTTTATAAAGTGTTCTATTTCTACAATATATGGTGTAAAAACGTCTTAGTGCTGCCCTCTTCAGGTTGAACGGTGGCTACTGCAGTTGAATTTTCCTATTGGATGTTTGCGGTGGTACGTGACACAGCGGTTGTTGGTGACGTACGCAAGTTCTATACAAAGAGATGTCTAACCTCCGCTGGGCTCTGCCCACTTTTCCAGCATTTTTCAAATATTGCCAGTGGGTGGAGTCAGGCTCTGACCAGGGGTTTAGTTACCCTTTAAAGGCGGCACCGGTTTACATCCAACCAGATCCTCACTTTCGATTTCAAAATAACGGCTGCGTGAAATCAGCGTATAGTAAAGGACAGAGGTACAAAGGCAAAATGACAGTTGTGTTAATGACAAATTAAATATTTTAAATGATTATAAAATTACATTTCAATAGTGTCCATGAACAGAAAAAGTAGCATCTTTAAAATACTAGATCTTTTGCCCTAATGAAGCTCACAGGGTGCTACTGGCAGCCAGCAGCGACTACTTCAGAGGCATGTTTACCAGCGGTATGAAGGAGAGCCGGCAGGAGTCCGTGTCTCTGCTGTTAGTCGGAGCCGGAGAGCTTGAGCCCCTCCTGAACTGGGCCTACAGCGGCACTCTGATGCTCGGATGGGGCTGCGTGTTCGACCTCGCCTCTACCTCCCTCCAGCTTCAGATTCAGCCTGCCATCTCGTTCTGCCTTGAGTTCTTGGAGCAAGAAATGGATGTCCTCAACTGCCTGGACGTGGCGTCTTTCGCAGAGGCTTACGGGATGACGGGGCTAATGGAGCTGGCTGAGGATTTTATCCTGAGACACTTCCAAGAAGTATCTGCCACCCCAAAGTTTCGGGACCTCCCGGCCGAGAAGCTTCTGGCGTTCCTCCGATGCGACGCGCTGTCCACTCCATCGGAGCTGGCTGTTTTCCGAGCGGTCGTCACTTGGGTGGAGGCCGATCCCAATGAACGGCTCCCGCAGGCCGAAGAGCTAATGCAAGCAGTGCGTTTTTCATTCATGACCTTCCGAGAATTTCGAGAAGTGCGCGCTGTAAACCTGCGCATGGAATGCAGTGGAGAATTCGAGGTTGAACTCTACAAATCGGCACTAGAGGAGTTTGGCATTGGCATCTCTGACCGTGCGCAACCACGTGTGCGTCACCCCAAAGACGCCCTGGTTTTGGTTGGAGGCGATCAGCTGAATCCAGACATGGATCAACGACTTCCCAGCAGGCAGCTCTGGTTTGTTAACTCTCTGAGAAGTGGAATAGGCCTTGTGAAGGAGATTGAGTGGAGAATGCTGGGAGAAATGCCAGATCGGGCCAGATTTAGACATGGTGTTGGGGTCCATGATGGTCAACTGTATGTTGCTGGCGGATGCCACTTTTACACAAAGTATGACGTCATGAAATCTGTTTACAGGTAAAGTAAAGCATGCTTAAAGACCTCACAAAATTCAAAGTCCAATTTTGTGGCTTGACTTATCATACCATACCTAAAAACATATGAAACACAGAATTTGCATTGCATCGCAGGTTTCAACTAAAACGTATCTTTTTAACCTAGCTTTTAGTTAAGTCTTTGTCGCCATCTCTGTTTGAAATCTGCAATTGCAGTCATTCGCGGAATTATCAACTTTACGTGAGTTGTGCTTCGACACCCTCGACACGGCACAGCGTGGATGAACACAGTGTTTGAGGAGAGTGTGTGTCAGTCGCCGCCGGTGTGGATGGCATTCACAATCACAGATTATTAATTTTGAAAGTGTGACCAACATAAGAGTTTTCACCGGAAAATGTCTGAACGAGTAGGTAACATCTACTTTTGTTCTGGTTCTGAAATCTTCAATTAAAAGCATTATTACAAGCTTACCGCTCTGAATCGAGCTACGGCAAGCAGAGAGTTCCCAGATAGCAAACTGACATTGAATCAACGTGGAAATATGACATCGAAACAACGTTGATCTGACATTGTTTTGCTCATCGAATTAACGTTGAACCAACGTCAGACGCGTCATTCTTTCAAAACTAACGGAAAATCAACTTGAAATCAACGCGTTGTTTCAACGTTATGAAAGCAAACCAATTTTCGATTTTCATTTAGCTTTGAAGAATGCCTCGTCTGACGTTGGTTCAACGTTAATTCGATGAGCAAAATCAACGTTGTTTCAATGTCATGAGAGACGTCGTTTCCACGTTGATTCAATGTCAGTTTGCTGTCTGGGTTTTGAACACGGGCTGGTTATGTATTTTCTCAAATATGTATTTTGGATCATTTTTAACTGCGGACTGCAGCTTTAAGTGCATTGTACATTGTAGATATAATGTTCTCTCTTTCAGTTTTCACTATTTGAATCCTTTCTACACTGACCTAACTATACTGTAATGTGAGGGGTCCAAGAGCATGTGGTCTTACCTGCATATGTGTCTATATACATGAATGTCTTACTGTTTTTAGTTAACTGTGAAGCACTTTGGGCAACAACGTTGCTATTTAATGTGCTATATAAATAATGTATGCTGTATTTGTTCACTTTAATTTCACCTGTTCTCACTTTTTGATCTGCATCAACAGGTACGACCCTATGCGAGACCATTGGAAAAGGCTGGCTGACCTTCTGGAACTAAGGAGTAACTTTACGCTGGTGGTGAGTGGAGACGCCCTGTATGCTGTCGGAGGAGACAAAGACATCCACACAAATCTTGACAGCGTGGAAAAAAACTCACTGGAAACAGATTCCTGGAGGTAGGAGAACAACTGAAAACAGGATAAAAGAGCAAGCTAAATCAAGATTAGTAATGATTAACTGTTATTGTGAAAATAAAAATGTATGCACAGAATGAATGAACTGACTGACACCTAGTGGCTCTCAGGAGCACAACATATGGAGAATCTTTGGACAATCATTTGATTTTCCAGTCCAAAGTCAAATGTCATTGCTTATTTTCAGCTTTGTCTCAGGCTTTTCTCTATTATTAATCGGGGTAAATAAAACATAGGCACAAATGAGTCAATTGCCTTTTCTGTTCTGTGGTACAGCTTCACCCATCCTTTGGACCAAGCCTTAAGCGGTCACGCTGCCGCCGTCTGGGGAGGTGAAATCTTTATCTCTGGAGGCTTCAACTGCAAGTACCAATGCCTGCCGTCGATGTTCCTCTACCACCCGGTGAGAGGAACCACATACCTCGCTGACATGACCCACGACCGGGCCCAGCACTGCATGGAGAGCATGAGGAACCATTTCTATGTGGCTGGCGGGGTCTGCAACCTTAATACGTACTACACCAACCAGCTGGTCTGCGAGATGTACGACCCGGTACACGACACCTGGACGGTGTTCACTCCTCTCCCCGTTCCCCACGTCGGCGCGGCCTCTGCTGTCCTGGAGGAGAGGCTGTATATTCTCGGGGGTTATTGCCGGGAGGACTATACAGAGGCGAGACGCACTGACCGCTATGACCCTGTGACTCAGAGATGGGACAGCATGGGAAAGATCCCCGGTCCCGTCACTGACGTGTGCGCATGCCTCCTTCATCTACCTGAGCACATCAGGAAATGAGAAAAACGTGTGTTGCTTTATTTAGGGAGCTGCCTTGTAGGGCGAATTTTCTCTCAAATGAAGACATATGGAACGCTCTGTATGAGCAGCAAGTCTGATTGTCAAATAAAAGTCCTTGCATGAAGACATTTTATAATTCATTTGAATCATAAATATTTGAACTATTTTTATTTAGACATATCGCTATACAACCATTAAAAAGTATTTCTGTTCCTTGAAATAAAATATGAAAAATCGATTTTATTTTGAATAAAATGCATTTTATTTTTAATAAAAAAACTAATTTTGAATAAATTAGGCTGCATAAAGCTGAAATAAAAAAATAAAAACTATACAGACATTACAAAAAGAAAAACGAATCAAAAATACTAAAACTTGAAAAAAAAAATGTAAACAGAAACTAGAAACAAATTAAAACATTAAAAAAGCTGTACTATAATAAAATAACATGCACAATACATAACAAAAATAACTAAAAAAATAATCAAATTCGTCAAGGTGACTATAAAAGACAGCATTTTCCAGCCCGATCTCATGAAAGTTCGTATCTATGGCACGAATGTAATTTCTCGTGGCATTTATACGCCAAAAACAGTTTTTGCGTGTATATGGCACGTGATTTTCACGTACATATGATACACACTTTTTTGCGTATAATACGCACGAACTCCCCACCCCCCTCCCCCCTCAACCTAACCCAGAGTTTTTTAGTGCGTACCATATACACGAAAAAAACACTTTTGGCGTATAAATGCCACGAGAAATGACACTCGTGGTATAGATACGCATCTTCGTGAGACTGTGTTGCATTTTCCAGTTCTGTCAGTCCTGCCACAAACTCCATTTCGTGAATGTCTAAGTTCAGCAGTTCATTTTAATGTACTCACTCAAAATGGTTCAAATGCTTTAATCCTTTGGAACAACAGTGAGAATAAACCCAGCTAACAAAGTTAGGTTCTGAGAACGTTTTTCTAACGTTCCATTTTGGTTGTGGGAACGTTAATTTAAAATGTTCTAAAAACGTGGAAATGTCCAGTTTGCTTAACGTTGCTGGAACGGTGTCTTAATGTTTGCAGAACGTTGCTGGAACGTTAGCATAATGTTGTTAGAACGTTATCCTGAGGTTAGCATAATGTTGCTGGAACGTTATGAGAACGTTTATCAAACACAAATAACGTGATAAAGACGTTGCGATAACGTTGTTCTAAGAACGTTTTTTATCAACGTAATGAGAACGTTCATCAAATACAAATAACGTGATAAAGACGTTCCAAGAACGTTGTTCTAAGAACGTTTTCTCTCAACGTTACAAGAACGTTAATAACGTTATATGAACGTTCCGAAAACAATATTTTAATAACGTTTTGTCCTAACATTTACACAACTTTTAAAGAACGTTAGTGAATGTTCTGGGAACGTTCCCTGTTAGCTGGGAAAATCCTCAGTGGATAAGGTGGATATTTACCTACGATCCGACGAATCCACATCTTCAAATGTTTCTTATGTTCTGTCAGCGAAGACTTTACTGTTGATCACCGCCTGTATGTGGTGTTTGTACTGTAAATGACTCTGTGCTGCAGGATAAGGTAAGATATACTTAACAGTACTCGAAAACAGTAAATGTATCGCAAAGTACCATGACATTACCATATGTATCATGAATTCTGTGATTATGAATTAGCTAATCACTATACTTTATCTTGGTAGTACTGCCACTTAAATGATCTAGTTCTGTGTCATGTTATTTCTAGAGGTGATTTGAAACCCAATAGAACTAGAAATGTAAAATGTTTCTCTTGAATGTTTTAGTAGGCCTACAGCATGTATTTACAAAAGCTATACAGACCTACCTCTTTTACTTGAACAGAGGCCTGTGACCAGTATTTTAACTTCTGTTCATCTATGTATTCATATAACATGGTCTTGATAGGTTGATTTAAATGTTTTGGTGCTTGTATGTTGTTGTAAAATCTGCCTCAAAAGTAAAAATGCACAATGACACTTTTAGTAAATGTTTTGAATTTGTGCATTACAGGCTCAAAATGACAAATATTTATTGCTTTTATTGTGAGCATACATGAAACATATAGCGTTAATGTGACGTTCACATAGCCTAAATAAGAATATGCATGACCTTATGTATTTTATATGAACTGTATGTTAAAAGACATGCATTTGTAGGAAGCTACGGTAGTTCTCTTTTTTATCATGATTCTCTATTTTGTCATGCATGATAGAAGACGCAGTGTCTCGTTCCCCTACTCAGGGAACCATGGTTACATAATGTCTTCAAGGAGCAGTTTATTCTGATGATATAAACAAATATTTTGGCTAAAAATTCAACCGAATCATTGATTTATTTACTATTTTGGTAATGCATTGCAATGAGTTTTATTTTGTTGATTATGCTGAATAGAAAATAAAGAGAACAATACTCTAGACTGGTGGTAGACTTGAAGGATAAAGCTGGAGGAAAGGTTTTAAGAAAAAACATACATCTAAAAATGTAAATAAAACACCCATGCTACCATCTCAGGATTTCCCCTACACAGTATACATCTTTTACACCAATATGAGTGGTTTGTAGCCTACAACATAATGGAAATTCACTTGTGCAATTTTAGAAAGTTTTGTATTGACTAGTCAAATCTGAGTACTTGCGTTTCTGTTTTTTTCCTCAGAGATAAGCCGTAAATCTCATGACCAAACTCCAAAAACTCCAAATTCGTAATCATTAACCAAAGGCAGCTCTATAAAAATAAAAAGCACAGCTAGATCTTTTCTCTTCTCTTTAGCACCAGAGCAACGGTCATCATGGCTTTATTTCAGATCTTCTTCATCTCGATAATAAGTTCCTGCGTGCCACAGGATGCGGATATTATTACTCCTGTGGTGAATATCTTCTCTGAGCTGAAGGAGCTTCAAGCCTCCATTGATGGACTGAGAACGGATCTGAACTCAGCTAAAAATGAACTCGAGGAGCAGAAAATCTTGATTCAGGACCTGCGGAAACAGGTTAAGGGTAAATTCTCCAATTTTGGGGGGTTTGGATACAGTATCTTGACATTGTTTTAACTTTGCAGTTATCACCATTTAGCATGAACACAAGCATTTACTTACATTTCCTTGTGGAAATACTCTTCTCCACACACAGAGAGTCCAAAAGTGGCATTCACTGCGTCCATGTCGGCAACAGAGAGTACAAACCGGGGGCCTTTTAGTATGGAGACCAGACTCATCTTTGATAAAGTCCTAACCAACGTTGGTGATGCATACAACCCTGTCACAGGTAACTGCATATTCAGTAACAAACAAACAAACTCAATACTTTGTAATCTCGAGATCCTTGCTTTGTTCTGCTCTGTATAGCAGTATTTTTATGTATTTTTAATGCTCCAGATTTGGTCACTGCTTTCTTCTATATAATAAAATGTGACTATAATATCTGCTGCAGGAGTCTTCACAGCACCTGTTAAAGGTGTGTATTACTTCAGGTACTCAGGCTCCGCGTTTTCCGCCCATGATATGGGTCTGAGCATCTTTAAAGGCACAGCACGATTTGTGTCTTCATACGAATATAATTCTGGGGAGCGCAACGACCAAATGTCCAATGGAGCCGTGATGGAGCTGGATGTTGGAGAGGAGGTTCACGTGAAGCTGTGGATCAGATGCTGGATCTTCGTGGATCGACGTTACAACTATTCCACTTTCACAGGCTACCTGCTTTACCCTCAGGATTCTGCTTCTGTATAATTTAATGAAGTGAATTATTTAGCAATATGTCAAAAAGAACTGTTTAAAAGTCCTGAAATTGTATCATGTTTCTTCAATGTGAATGAATTTAATTCAACAGGTTACTATTTCGGATATACAAAAAGAAGTGTTCCTCTATTTCTTAAAGGGCACCTATTATGCCCCTTTTTACAAGATGTAATATTGGTCTTGGGTGTCCCCAGAATGTATTTGTGAAGTTTCAGCTCAAAATACCCCACAGTTAATTTATTATATCTATTTAAAAATGTCATTTTGGGGCCTGCTTAAAAATGAGCCGTTTTGATGTATACCACCTTAAATGCAATTGAGCTGCATATCCCCGCCCTGCCTTTCGATGAGGGCGTAACTTAATACCTATGGCAGTCGGTACTGAGAGAGTGAGAGAAACCGCTGTTTTGAATGTCATTCAGCGTACGTTTGAATCGGAATATATAGTACGAAGAGAGGAATCCAGTTACTCACGCCGCCTCGAGGTTATCGACCTCAAAGACCGCCAAAGGACGTCAGCCATTCACGCTGTTCTGATCGAACGTCAGCCAATCAGGCTGTTCTGATCTGCTCGATTGCAGACCCTTGTATCCTGAGCATCCTGGGTTCCACCTGTGTCTTGAAGAAACAGAGAACGTCAGCTCCTCATGCTGTTCTGAGCGAATATGTTGACTGTAACACACTTATTTCAGACTGATCTCATGAAGTAGCGTGTGTATGACACGCCAATTCGTATTTCCATTTTTGGCGCGCTATCAACGCGCATAATCGCTTTTCAGCGTGTTTATGAATGCCGTTGACTTAACGTTATATAAATTTATGACTTACCTCAACCCTAAACCTACCCGTCACTGGGGTTAATAGCATTTATGAGTCTTCCCCTACCATCCTAGAAAAAAAAATATCGCTCCCCAGATGTAGAACTACATTTGCTTTGTTTCGCTCTGACATTTGACGGCGTAGGCATACACGCATACACGCGGATACACGCGGATAGCTCAAAATGCGTAGAGATAACACGCCACTTGACTCGAAAGTGCCGTGTATGTTTACGCAAAAGTCATGATGTCATGTTGCTTATTTAAGCCAAGTTTTCTTTGTCATCCAATAAGAAATATTTTTTTGACATCCCTTCTCAACAAACACTGAGATTTTGATTTAAGTCGGTATACTGAATTGTACTGTAATATATCACAATATCGAGTAAACTTCTTAATAAACTGAATGCACACAGTAGGAAGAAGTATTTTTCTTTTATTTTTGCTTATTCTAGAAGCAAACTGGCTAAAGCTGAGAACATTGTGTGTTTTTAAAGACTACAACATGTATAAGCAATGCATTATCCAGGGCTTAAAAAAAATACAATCGGTTCACTCCGAGCAGAATCAGTATTTTAACATATCAATAATATTTTAACAGTTTATGCGTTCTTTCTTAAACAGTATCGTTCTGAAAACGGTTTAATTAGGAAAAATTACTGGTTAAT